GTAGAGGGTTTGCCATTTGTACAGTAACTTTTGGCTTGCTGGGACGCTGAGTTTCTCAGAGACTGATGACAGCTTCTGACTCCATTCAGAGCATCCTCCCATGGCTATGGAGAGAGGGATGGAGCCTTGGACCATGGTAGTTGGACAAGAAAAAGGGAAGTGATCAGGTTCTGCATCTATTTTAAAAGTGTGTTCAACAAAATGTACTCACAGATTGGGTGTGAATTCTGAGAGAAAGAGAAATGAAGGGTGATTTCAAGGCTTTGCCTGAGCTTTAAAGCAAGGAGGCTGGCAGGGGTTTATTGGGTATCACTCATGCAGATGCTCAATTATCCCTCATAAAATGTTTCAAAGTAAATACTCTCAATTTGACTTAATAACGAAAGCCTATGTTTCACAGTACAAGTCACTTGTCTCAAATCATACAGATGGTTAAATGGTCACATCTGATTTTTCAAGTGCCTAAGACTGATTTGTGTGTGGGTGGGTGGGGGAAAGGGGGTTGGGACCACCTTCAGCTGTGCTCAGGGCTTACTTCTGGCTCTGTGCTAAGGGATCATTCCTGTCAGGGCTCCAAATGGGGAGCAGGGGATCGAATGCAGGTTGGCCATGAGCATTGCAAGTGCTCTAACTGCTATACTATCTCTCCAGCTCCAGAATCTTTTAAAAAATTAATAACTTTTTACTTTTGCATTTATTACCCAAACAAAATATCTTCACCACCACAAATGTGTGTGGGGCTGAGGGCAGGTAAGTTAGAGAAGAGACTTCTATGACAATAATAACTGGGAATGGTCGTGCTGAACAAGATTTGAGGGTTAAATAGTAGGTAAGGGATATTCTTTTTATAAAATAAGTTTTTATTATTGAAACACCATGAGGTACAGTCGTAGACTTACAAATTTTTGTGCTTGGGTTTCAGTTATACAGTGATCGAGTACCCATCCCTCCACCAGTGCTTTTCATTTATTTATTTATTTAAAAGTTTTTAATAATGAAACACCATGAGGTACAGTGGTAGACTTACAATATTGGTAAGGGATATTCTTGATAACCTTTCAGTATCAATAATGTGAGAGAGTGTCAGAAGCTGTAGCATGGGCCTGTTTATTTGGGTGAAATTTCTTCTTACTGGTTCTCCTTTCATATTGCTTTTCCTCTTTAAGGAAATCTTTCCTTGCTGGCATAGAAATTCTAAATGACTTTTTCTTCAAGAACAGGTCTCAAAAATGTCTTATTCTTCAGGTTTATAACCATCTGCTCACTAGAGTTATCAAGCAGATGTGGGTTGTGGAACAACCTCATTCAGGACCTTCAAATTCCTATCTGACTCCCCAGATTATTACAGGTCCCCCAGGCAGTGTGATTGGTCAACAGGGAGCTTTCTCACAGGGAAGGACACCTGTTCCTTCTCTTCCCTGGATGGAAACTTTGGACACCCAACTGAAGGTGTCAACTGAATGATCTCCTTAATTTAATTTTTAATTTAATTTTAATTTTTTTTGCTGGGTCACACCCAGTGATTCACAGAGGTTACTACTGACTCATGCACTCAGAAATTACTCCTGGTGGTGCCCAGGGGACCATATGGGATACTGGGAATCGAACACAGTCGGCCTTGTGCAAGGCAAATGCCCTACCTGCTGTGCTATTGCTCCAGTACCTAATTTAATTTTTTTAATTGCAGTTTAGGTAAGATGGTTATGATAGTGTTAAAGTTTATGATACTGGTGTGCAAAGTTACTGTACCCACCACCACCAATGTACCTTCCATCACTGTTCCTATGCCACCTCTGGTCCTGTCTTCACCTTCTCACTGCTTGTTAATCATGTTTATAATCCAAGGCTTGCCATGCCTAGATACAAGTGTAATCCCTTGTTAGAACTCTGAATTTTATTTCCTCTATTCAATCAATTTCCCATTTCTACTTGCACCAGGAAGTCCCAGGACAGGACATTCATGGGCTTTTACCTTGAACTATTGATTACCATCAACTCCTAATAGATTTTATGTCATGAACTCACTGCTCAAACTCATTTATCATTTTCCTGAAAATTAAAGCTAATGTGTCACCTTCCTGCTCAGCCCTTCTGTTGATTCCTATTATCTGTAAACTCTAATCCAGCATCTTTAGTTGGTTAACAGAAGCAGTCACAACTTGCTACTTTTCCATCTCCTGCTCTTCTCCCTACACCTCCTCTCCCTATAAGTCACTCTTCTGCTACATGAGCCTCTTAGTGAGATACAACTAGCTCCTACACAACATGGATTCACGTGTTTTCTCATTTCTCCCCTTATTGCCCCTAATGAATGAAGGATCAGATGATAAGAACATGAGTATCCTATCTTTTTCCATAGCTAGAGGAATTATGAGCTCACCGTAGGGTTGTCTTTATTTCATTTTAGCACAGCTGTAGGGTGTTTGCCTTGCACGCAGCCAACATGGCCAGCCCAAATTCGATTCCTCCGCCCCTCTCGGAGAGCCCGGCAAGCTACCGAGAGTATCTCGCCCGCACGGCAGAGCCTGGCAAGCTCCCCGTGACGTATTCGATATGCCAAACACAGTAACAACGAAGTCTCCAACGGAGACGTTACTGGGCCCGCTCGAGCAAATCGATGAACAATGGGAGGACCTTTATTTATTATTTATTTATTTATTTATTTATTTTAGGGCTGGAGCGATAGCACAGCGGTAGGGCGTTTGCCTTGCACGCAGCCAACATGGCCGACTGGAGTTCGATTCCTCCGCCCTGCTCGGAGAGCCTGGCAAGCTACCAAGAGTATCTTGCCCGCACGGCAGAGCCTGGCAAGCTCCCCATGAAGTATTCGATATGCCAAACACAGTAACAACAAAGTCTCCAATGGAGACCTTACTGGGCCCGCTCGAGCAAATCGACGAACAACGGAAGGGCTTTACCTTTACCTTTTATTTATTTATTTATTTATAATAAAGAGTCTCCTGCCCCCGCGCCTGGCTGTCCTCACCGGGGTCCCTTGGAGGGGAGCGGGTTGAGTTTTCCTCCCTGCCCCGACCAGGGCTCTGGCAGCCGAAGACCTCGAGAACCAGCCACCACCATGCTGAGACCACTCTTCACATGCACAAAGGTACTGGCAGAGAAACAAAGGCATGCAGGTCCCGGGCCGAGATCTCCAAGCCTGCTCAGATCGGGGCTGAGCATCCTCCACCCAGATCCTCCATATTCTAGTAGGCAGAGGTCACACCCACCAACTGGCCCCCTGGCGCCGTGTAATCCCATCAATGGCCAAGACCCAGAGACTATAAAACCCAGCTCCCAGAAGACATCTTATTATCTTATTCTTACTTTGGATAAAATGGCAGGCTACCGAATGTAACCTGCCCACACGGCAGAGTCTGGCAAACTCCCTGTGGTGTACTCAATATGCCAAATACCAGTAACAATGATGGGTCTCATTCTCCTAACCCTGAAAGAGCCTTGAATATGGCACTTTTTAAAAAATCTCAGGGCTAGGACGAAGGAGACATTACTGGGGCCTGCTCGAGGCAATCGACGAACAACAGGATAGTCGTGATTGTGAATTACTTTTTTTATAAAGTTGTTCTTCATTTATTATACCCAATATCCAACACCAATCCCACCACCATTGCACCTTCCCACCAAGGATTGTCTTTTGGTGACCTCAATCAAATCGAGACATTTTTCTTCCTCCTGTAGTTTCTAAGAATTTATTTTTATTTTTTTTCTATTTTTATTTTATTTTTATAAAGTTGTTCACAGTAGTTCATTACATTTAATATTTGAACACCAATCCCAGCACCATGCACCTTCCAACCACCATAGAGAAAAGTATGTGAAGATTGTTGTATTTCATCCTGGAGTCAATGGAGGCTTTGTATAAGAGACTATAAGCATATATGTTAGACCCAAATGAATGTGTGCTACTTTTGGTACATCAATGGTCTAGAGTATAATAGGTTGAGACCACGTGCTCCAGGACATTGTAGGGCGCTCTCTTCTGGGAGCTTTATTTCATAGTCTCTGAATCTTGGCTCTTGATAAGATTATATGATGCTGGGGGCAGTTTGTGGGTGTGACTGCCAAGCTACTGGAAAACTGGGGAGCTTGGAGGAAGATGGCCCAGTCCTGTTCGGAGTGAGCTTGGAGATCCAGTCACAGTTCCGCATACATGAGGTCTTTCCTATAGGTTCCCTCATAGGTGAGTCTTGTCCAAGTCTTGAACAAGTGGAGAGTGGCCTTGAGCATGGCTGCACTTTTGGCTGCAGGGGTCCTGCTGGGGCGGGGAGGGAAACTCAACCCACCCCTCTCCCAGTTGCCCTGGTGAAGACAGCCTTGCGCGGGGTCAGGACCAAGAATTTATTTTTATTCTATTATAAATGAATATTTGGTTTGGGAGAAGGTTATGTCTTCCAAGCAGTACTCATGGAGCCCAGGGATCATTCTGAGCAACACTCAGCCTGACTGGGCTGACTGAAGATGAGTGTTGCTTAGGGCCCAGCAATGCTGCGGACCACCAGCAGTGCTGGTTGGATATGGGGTGGGATGCATGTGGTGCCAGAGACTGATCACAGGTTGTTAGCTCAAATCCTTTTAATTTGTCCTTGGTCCTGGATGTCATATTTTATCAAATATTCTTCTGCATCTATTTTGTACATAAAGTCTCTCGTTTTTTCAACCACTGACTTGTTTTCTATGGCTAAAGTAATTTTTCGTTCCCTGAATAATCTATAACAATCTCTCTCTCTCTCTCTCTCTCTTTCTCTCTCTCTCTCAAGCCAATATATTTCTGGATTCAATTTGTGCTATTTCATTGGCATACAACCATGCAATCTGATCAGTGGCTCAGGAGAAACAATCTTTTGAAAAGACAACCACAAAAGCCACCTGGGTATGGCAGCAAAGCTTGATTTCTGCTTCAGTCTGAAACAAATAAGTCTGGATGAAAGGACTGGGCATGGAGAAGTTCTGAACCAAACTGTAGCATCACATTACTAGATGAAAATGACAGTTTCATTATTGATGTTTTTCATATTCAGTACAAAGTTTGGAACTCTGTTGTCCAGAAATTGAAATAAATATCATATTGTTATAAATCAAAGGTTTTAACAGCACAGAAATAATGTTTAATATTTATAAATAAAGCAATTTAATGTGCAGTTTGTTAGCTTATGATACATAAAAATAATTAATAAAAATAAAAAGGAACCAGAAATGTGGCTCTGTGGTAGAATATATGTCTTCCATGTGTGAGACTGTGTTCAATTCCATGCACTGCAAATAAAAGGAAAAAAGGGAAAGAAAAGAAAGTTCTATATAGTCCCTGCCAACCCCACCATGATTGCTTCCCTGCATTTTTCTGTACTACTTCTCTGTTACTTTGGACAGGCCAAGATTCACAAGGATGGACCGTTCCAGACTTAAGTACTCCTCATAGTCCATTTTCAACTCAGCCTCGAGTAGTTCTTTGGACTTCACATATGTCCTCTAGGGGAAGAAAAGGAGCACATCATCCCGTGTAAAAACATTGACAACTAGAAATACCAAAAGATGAGAAATGGGTGTTTTAAAGCACTGTAGCACTGTAGCACTGTCCTTCCGTTGTTCATCGATTTGCTTGAGTGGACACAAGTAACATCTCCATTGTGAGACTTGTTACTGTTTTTGGCATATCGAATATGCCATGGGGAGCTTTCCAGGCTCTGCCGTGTGGGGTTTTAAAGCAGCTGACCTAATCATTCTCTCTGGAAGGGGTGTGCAAAACAGGGTGGGAGAACTCTTACACAGTGATGGGGAGCTGTTGTCCACTTTTGGGGGAGAGTGGGGGGTGGAGGGGAGTAGAGAACTAGAGGGAAGCATGTGAGCACATTCCAGTGTCCAATTGGTGGTTCTTAGGGCAAGACAAACAATCAGATAAATACTCTGGTGGGGGTGCAGGAGGAGAGGGAGATAGTTCAACAGGCTGAGTACATTTGCATTCCCTACCCCCTAAAACACTACGCTATCCAATCCCTGTGAATTGAGACAAGAGTATCCTGTCTGGGTGAGACCCTCCCATCCCCCAAAAAGTCAAAACAAAAATCCCAGGAAACATCTCTCTGCCCTCTGAAAGAGGGTAAGGGAAGACTACGAAAAGCATGGTTTACTACCAAAGCCATGGAATAGAGCCAAACAGATATATAAGTAAACATGAGTTCTGAAAACTTACAACTTTCTTCTTCTCATTTTCAAGCTCTATTTGAATCTTTTCTTGTTTACGAATAAGTTTGCGCTGTTCAACATATTCCAGATGCTTGACTTCTCTCTCAAAGTAGTGGTTCATGCTTGATATCTGTTGGAAACAAAGGAATGTGGAGCCCACATGCACAGCCCATGTTCTCAAGGCTCTGAAGAATTCCTGACACTTGTCAGTCAGCGGGTCGATCGCCTACTTGCTACTCCATCTGCAGGTCCATAGCTAGAGGAAATTTCTTAATTAGGGGCTACTTAGTTAAGGTTTAGAGATCTGTAAATTGGAGAGCTCTAGAAAGGGACTAAGTTTGGAAGGGAAAAGCAGCAAAACACTTCACTCTTCTAGAATAATCAGGGACTGCTTTGTGTGTGTGTGTGTGTGTGTGTGTGTGTGTGTGTGTGTGTGTGTGTGTGTGTGTGTGGCAGAGGAGGACTTTCCAAATAGTGCCCAGAGGCCCCCTGGAGCTACTTCCACTGATACTTGGGCAACTGGACCACATGGAGATATGGTAAGGCTCAGATCCAGGAGAATCATAGGCAGCCACATTCAAGGACCAGAATCAAACTTAGGTCTCTGTGCAGGCAGGAATATGTGCCCTTACTAGATAGCTGACTCCCCAGCCCATGATGGGTCTCCTCCACCAACTCCTTTCCTTTCTTCTATTTCTGAGACAGAGGGAAGTTTCATAATAACAATGAAACTTGAAAAATACAGATGGTAGGTGGATCAAGCTGAGTTCTGCTACCCAGTGTGACAGTGGACATAACACTACAGCAGAAAAACCAGCAGAGAGCCTGGATAAGGTGAGCGGGAGGGAGAGGCCCGGCCTATCAGTGTCCAGCCTCAGATGCCGGGGTTGGCAGCAGCTGCAGTCTGCATGTTTCATGTTGGCCTGATTGTATTGATGTTTTTATACTCATTGCTCTTTTTACATGCACATTAGCTATACAACTAAATACTCCTGTCCGTAGATGAATAAAAATGCCAGTAAAGACTCTCCAAGAAAGGGAAGAACTGAAACAAGGGTCCTTTGCTTTGGTTATAGCTAGAAAATGTCATTTTAGGATTAGGAACCCACAAGCCAGTTCTCTAATCTGAGCTTCTTTTACTTGGCCTCCCTCCCTATGATCTTGACAAGGAATATTTTTAAAGCCATACAACAGAAATTCATACCGTCTTTTCTTAATAAAGAAAGATCATTTTTACTGAAAGAAATTTAGAGAAATGTGAGACAGAAAGATAAATATGTATCCAAGAAAGAAAAGGCTTCTCCAGAGGGGAAAGGGGAAAAGGCCATATCCCTTTATTTACAAGTATATGTTTTGTATGTTTGTTTTTCATGGTACAGAACCAACTCAGGCCTCACACATGCAAAGCAAGTGCTCTATCACTGTGCTATCTACCACTGAGCTATAAGCTTGGCCCTGACATTCTTTTTTTTAAAATAATTTAAAAATTTATTATAATTATTATTATTTTTAATGAGTCACCGTGAGGTACAGTTACAAACTTACAAACTTTCATGCTTAGTTTTCAGTCATACTATGATTGAGTACCCATCCCTCCACCAGTGGCCATTCTCTACCACCAATGTTCCCAGTATCCCTCCCATCCCCCCCTTTCCCATCTCCCGCACCTCTGTGGCAGGAGAGGTGCCACTCTCTCTCCTTTAGGGTGTTGTGGTCTGCATGGCCTTGGCATTCTTTAATTCTCTCATTAGTGCAAAAGTGCTGTCATTTCTATTTGGAGGGGTTGTGTGAAGAAGTTTCCATACCCAGAAGTACTCAGGAATTACTTCTAGTTCTGTAGTCGGGGATTACTCCTAGTGGTGATTGGGGTAGCATACGTAATGCCAAGGACTCAAACTTGGGTTAGCAGGGTACTAGGCAATAGTGGAACTATTGTTCCACTTCCTTCTCCAAATGTTGTCATTTCTAAATATGCTATTAAAACCCAACTCAGCAACATCTGTTCAGATAAATCCTCAAAGCCAAAAGTTACTGACCTCATTGGAGGAAGCGTGACTTAATGACCAAGGAATTTCTAGTATATGCAGAGTTCCATAAAAATCGGCAATGGCTACAAACTGCTGCTTAGCTAGAAGATGAAGAAAATAAAAACGGGGTGAAAAAAACTGCAATTCAGCACTCAGAAAGCCACCTAAGAGGTTAAACATGCAATGTTTTGTTGTTTCATGGTTTCCCAAAGGACTTGCTGTGGTTGTGATGATCTTCCCATCTTCACAGATGTTCGTGATTGGGAAGGCTAACATATAAAAGTCATTTTTTCCATTTGGTGAAATGAAAGCTGAGCCGCTGAGCCTCCCACAACAGACTTTGTGTTCTTGGTGCCTAAATAAGGAGCTGGCTTCTGACTTAGCCTGGCTTTCCCCGTGGCTCGGACTTCTGTGCAGTCTTGAGAAGAAATTAGGAACAACACATGGAAAGACTTTCAAAGATAAACCACAAAGCTAATTTTTACCAAAGAAAAAGAAAAGTCTCAAGGACACCACCATTACCCAGATGAATTTCAAAGGCACAACCAGAACCACTTTTCTTATAATAAAAACAAATTGCTTCCTTGATCATTTAAACTGGACATAAAACACAAATGTGCTTGAGGATTTTAATTTTATATCTCATCATTTGCAGTTGTTTCCCTTCTAATTTTCGGAGGGTCAGTTTCAGATGGCTAACTCTCAGGCTTGTTAAGCCCTCCTGGGTACTCAGAAGTGATAAAGACAGGAAAATACTGCGGTCACCTATAAGACAAGGCAGTTGATAGGCTAGGATACTAAAGATTCTGAAAATTAAATCTTTAATTGTAATGTTTCTTGGGGCTGAAGAGATAATATAGGGTTTAAGAGGAAGTACCACAAATGTGCCTCAAGGCTACTCCTGGCAATATTTGGCCCAGTAGTGCCAGACTGACAGTTTGGTATTCATGCCTAGCAAGGAGGTTCTGCTGAGATCCAGTGGTGCTGGGCCTCGAGGACCACCACTGATTACTGTGGCTGTGGAGTCACAATGATCAGGGATCAATCTTGGGCCTAGCTCATATAAGACACGTATTCCAGCCCTTTGAGAGAAACTTTTTCTTTTTTTGGTTAACACCTGGCGATGTTCAGGGTTACTCCTGCTCTGCATTTAGGAATTACTCCTAATGATGCTTAAGGGACCATACAGGATGCTGGGGATCAAACCCGGGTTGGCAAAGATCCTACCCGCTGGACTATCTTATTATAGCTTTTTACAAATGAAAAAGCAGTTGATTTACACAGAACATAGGACTTTGCTGAAACAAAGATTGGGATGAAGGAAATAGATTTTTTTTTCATAGACACATCCTTTGATCGTTGCTTGCTTTGTTATACAATATTTCCTTTCATAGCTAATTTGGAGTTTAAATAGATATATGACCTCAAAGAGTCCTTTGACCTCAGGAAGAGAAATTGGTTGGTATTGTTCAAGGAAGATCCACAAAATGTCATAATATTTAAAATTTGTTGAGGTAGCTAAATTTTGGAGATTCAAAATTTATTCTATTCAGAAATGAAGCAGAAACAATGTCACAGAGACATAGGGATTACTCTGTATGACATGAAGAAGATGAGAAGCTTGTTGTTTACATTGTGTGAATCAAAATTGCTTCTGCTTGGCAACTAAAAATATACTAACATTGACTTCAGAAACAATTGTTGGTAAAGAAAACAGCGAGGGAAGCTAAAGCTGCATCTAACATATGGTTCGAAAAGAGAAGGGAAGGAGGAGGTACAGGAAGGGAATGGAAGAGAAAACCTGCAAGAGAAGGAAGGGAGGGGGAAAGAAAGGGAAACAAAAACTTGAGAAAAGAAAGGAGATTTTTCTAGGAAAATGCCTACAACAGTTCCTAAGTTATACAAAGACAAAAGGACCTAAAATTATTTGGTAAGAACTGACATACCAGAGAAGGTCCAGGGTTTGATGAAGGTAATGTTAGTTATACAAATGTTTTGGGAATGGGCTGGTTCATGGGTTTTCTCCAAGAGATCCCAGATATCAATGTATCCATCTTCTCGGCCAACATAGAAGACTCCAGGCCTGGTGAGGGACCAGTGCCCTGAGGTGTACCTTTTTGCTGAACAGGACGACTGAAGGAGAGGTCCAGCCTTTAAACACATTTTTCAAAAAGACAAATTAAAATATTTTACTACTATATGAGGGATATTTCCCACAACTTCAAGTACAAATCACATGATTATAATTATATAACAGCAAACTTAGATGCATTAGGACTTGTCATTCCTTTTTTCTTATAGAGCTTTTACATGTCATCACTCTTTTCTTATATATTATCTTACTATCTTGTTGCCCCTATTTTAGTGACTTTCAGAGATGGACCACATAGGCTGTGGCTGTTCTCAGTTCTGAGCTCAGGATTCACTCTTGGGCATTATGTGGTATTGGGGATTGAACCTTGGTCACCTGCATGCAAAGCTGTATTCAGTCCCTTTCTAGTCCTTTAATGATTGCTTTTTAGAAAAAATAAAAACCTTCCAGATGGGTTGTTAATGGTTTTAAACAACTACTGCTAAAGCCCATGGCTCTTTCTGTGGAGGTGATGGAATAATAAATAAATAAATAAAGATTATGATGATTACAGCTTTATTTTGTTGTCAGGTGTCTGCTTCCCATGGAAAACAGCTCAGGTGGCCAGGAAACGCAAACAAAAAGCCAATTCTGTGAGCTGCATTCAGTGGCTTATAACATTGTTTGAAAGTGATTTCAAGATCTTTTCTCTTTCATAGAGGATATTGACTTCTTTGGGAAGTTTTCGCAGGAATAGATCAGAATGCTCCTTCCTTCCTGAGATCATGCTTCACCCACAGCCCCGTAATTCATTTTTCTACTTACTCTTGTTGAGCCTGGACTAATCCATAGAACTATCTCCTACCCTTCCATTTATGTGTAAGAAACTAATGATCCAGTGGACAACAGAGGAGGACATAATTCATGGACACTCCAAGCCTGTTCTTGTCACATCAGGCAGCTCTTTCAGTTTTTGTGGATAACCAACATCCTGATGCCTATGTAATCTTTGGACAATCTTCCTAAATTTTCTTTAAATCTACTCCATCATTATTTTTTTTAAAAGACCATACATAACGGGGCTGGAGTGATAGCACAGCGGGCAGGGCGTTTGCCTTGCACGAGGCCGACCCGGGTTCGATTCCCAGCATTCCAGATGGTCCCCTGAGCACCGCCAGGAGTAATTCCTGAGTGCAGAGCCAGGAGTAACCCCTGTGCATTGCTGGGTGTGACCCAAAAAGAAAAAAAAAAGACCATACATAAGTATGTTGGCACAGAGTAAAATTTCTTTCTGAAATAGTGAAATAGTAGTTGAGAGTTAACAACAAACTGGTTCATAGTCATACTTTTTTTTTTAGGATTTGTGTACATCCCCAGAAACAAAACTATTAGTTCAAAGAAAATTTTCTCCCTTCCTTCCCTTCCCTTCCTCTACTTTCCCTTCCCCTTTCCTCTTCCCCTTGGGGGTAAAACTCAAGCCCTCCTCCATGCTATGCTGTACTTTACTACTTGAGCCATACTTCCAACTTCTGTTATTTACTTAAATAAAATTCATGTAGTATTTATATAATTTATCCAAAGAACATATGTAATTTATTCAAAGAATAGACACACTGTACCTGTAAAATACTTGTTCATGTATTTCAGGTTTCAGTCATCTTAAAATCACTCACCGAAGGAACATATTAATCTATACTCCCATTAAAAGTACCAATGGGGGGGGGGGGAAGTACCAATGGGGCTGGAGCGATAGCACTGAGGGTAGGGCATTTGCCTTGCATGCAGCCAACCCGGGCTTGATTCCCAGCATTCAATATGGTCCCCCAAGCACCGCCAGGAGTAATTCCTGAGTGCAGAGCCAGGAGTAACTCCTGTGCATCACCGGGTGTGACCCCCTCCCCCCAAAAAAGTACCAATTCCCACACTCTCGCCTCACTGGATTTTGTCTGTCTTTCTAGATTTCCTCAGTTTTGCTTATCTGCTTAGCTCTAGGTCTTTCCTCATTCTGACTGCCTCTCTGTGGCTCATACATGTCTCTGGTTGGCCTGGTGATGTGCCCCTCAGCTTTCTTAGGTCCCCTTTTGGAACCTTCTGACATATTCCTTGAGCAGAAGCAAAGTTGACAGGCCTATTGTTTCTCTTTGGGCCTCAAGCAGAATCAGCACCTCCTCTTGTATTTGAAGGGGGGGAAAAAGAGCACAAATTCAAGTCAGCTGCCTCACAATCTATTTCCAAGAAAAGACCTTCAAAGGTTTCAGAGAACAAGGAGTTTGTAAGGTCTGTTAGCTCCCCTCGGGAAAGAAAAGCAAAGGGTTCATTTTCAAAAGACTCCCAGTGGTTCTGCTGACAAGCTGGAACCCAGACCATCTGTTCCAATTTCTCTAAAAGTGTCCCCTGGGCACTTTTATGTCACAACAGCCTGTGTTCATATTGTGTCTCTCAGTAACGAAGGACCACACGCCCACTGCTCTGTTCTGCAGGCAACTCACAGTAACCCCTTCTTTCCAGATGGCCAGGTTCCATCCACCAATGGTGAGGATGATGTCCTTGTAGAAAGGTGACCTCTGAACCGTGTGAACAGATCCATCATGGACGGCATACAGGTTCAATGGCTTCTTTGCTGTTGGAGTGGAAAAGATCATCTTTCATCTATAATAATATGGCTTTCATTCCATGAGGAACAGTATACAGGTTGGGAGATAGGCAGGTTCAAGGTGGAGAGGACTTGGACCCAATTAATGACCGAGAATGGAGAAGCAAAGGTCCCAAGAATGGCTCATCTGTCAGGGGACAGCTGCTCCTCATTCTGTGGCATATACACAGAATTTCCCTCCAGGACCATTTTTACGGCTCAGAGGAAATACTGCTTGTTCTCATTTACTCACTTATTCATTCTGTTAATAAATTCTGTGCATTGTCAGTCCCGGAAATTGTTGATGGGTGGGTAAACAAGAGTTAATAAGCAAACATGGTCCCACTTTCATGAAGCTTACTATCTAGTCCATCTAGTGGAAAAGATGAATACACAGTACAAATAATCCCAAAGCATATACTAAAAATATGTCCAGAGAGAGAACTCAAAAGGATGAGCACATCCTTTGCATGTGGGAGGCTGTGGTTCAATCCCCAACACCAAATGATCCCTTAAGCAATGCCAGAAGCAACCTCTGAGCATAGAGCCCGAAGCAGCCAAATAATAAAACAAATAATCACTGTAGTACTGTCCTCCTGTTGTTCATAGATTTGCCTGAGCAGCCACCAGTAACATCTCCATTGTGAGACTTATTGTTATGGTTTTTGGCATATCGAATACGCCACGGGGAGCTTGCCAGGCTCTACTGTATGGGCGGGATACTCTCGGTAGCTTTCTGGGCTCTCTGAGAGGGACAGAGGAATCAAACCTAGGTTGCCACGTGCAAGGCAAATGTCCTACCCACTGTGTTACCGCTCCAGCCCCAAACAAATAATAAAACAATGAAAATATTTAAATGTGGAAATTATTATGAAAAATATTAATTATCAGAGAGAACAACAGAAGACAATCATAATTTTGGCTGAATGTTTAGAAAGACTTCTCTGGTGAGGAATCTTCTAAAACAGAGTGGTGGGGCTGGAGTGATAGCACAGCGGGTAGGGTGTTTGCCCTACACGTGGCCAACCCAGGTTCGATTCCCAGCATCCCATATGATCTCCTGAGCACTGCCAGGGGTAATTCCTGAGTGCAGAGCCAGGAGTAAACTCTGTGCATCACCAGGTGTGACCCAAAAAGCAAAATAAATAAACAAGTAAATAAAACAGAGTGGCGGTTTGGAATGGTTTCATTTTGGTGATTCAGAACCATGACCAAAATCCTAAAGAAAAAAGTGTTGAATAGTCATTCTAAATCTCAGAAAGGTAATGGGGCTGCATTCTAATATTCCCAGCATAAAAAACAGGAAGCGAACAAGATCGGGGGAGGGTCTAGACCATCCACAGCCTTATAGAAGAAGGAATTTAGATTATATGCAAAGTGATTCAATGAGTCTTTTAGTTCTAGAAGACAATATGGTTCCATGGAACTATCTGGCGGCTGCAGGAAGAACAGATTAGAAGCATGGGAAAGAAGAGTTAGCAGATGAGGTTGTTGTGGTTATCCTTCTGGAGAGGATAGTGCTAGTATGGATGAAGGTGCAACGAATCGGCAACGCTTCCTTCTTACTGCAGCTCTTATTCCTGAGAACCTAGGATTGTCGTCAGTTAGTGAGCATCATCTCCAAGTCCTGCAGTGCTGGCTGACAAAAATGACCCATTCCACTCTGTGACACCTTTACCTGAGCCACCATCCTCTCACAGAGGACCACAACAGCCTCCTCAGGTGTTCCCACTTTGATCACCCCTCTCTGATCAACTATTTCCCCAAGGAAGCAGGATCATCCGGAAATCCCTTCTGAAAAACTGTGGTGGAAGAGCAGTACTGTTCTAAGAAGTATGTCGGAGACTTCACCCTACAGTGACTTTCCTTCCCTTTCTCCTGTGAAAGCTTTTGTTCCATTCCACAATGCATGGTGCTGTTCTTAGGTTATTAAGTAGCATGCCAGAACTCCCGGCCAGCTTATTATAAGAAAATTACAATAAGCAGGCTGAAAGGCAGTAAATTGCTATGCATGAGAAACCCAATTTGCAAAGTACTGGAAACCACAATGTCAAAGTTATTTTTGAAAATAATTCTTCTTGAATTGGTCGGGATGGGAGATGTGTACTGAAAGTAGATAATGGACCAAACATGATAACCTCTCAGTATCTGTATTGCAAACCATAATGCCCAAAAGTAGAGGGAGAGAATGGGGAATATTGTCTGCCATTGAGGCAGGAGGTGGGTGGGAAAGGGAGGGTATACTGGGGACATTGGTGGTGGGGAATGTGCACTGGTGGAGGGATGGGTGTTTGATCATTGTGTGATTGTAACCCAAACATGAAAGTTTGTAATTATCTCATGATGATTCAATAAAATAAAAAATAAATTAAAATAAATAAATAAAAAATATAAATAAAAAAAGAAAAGAATTCCTCTCAGAGTGGGAGAGAAGTGGGGGAGGCGGCATTGGTGGAAGTGAAGGGATCGGTGCTGAAACATTGCATTCCTGAAACCCAAGGATGAATAACTTTGTCATTCACAACAAATTAATGAAAAAGTAAACAATTTTTTTAAAGAGGATTTTTCAGAGCACAAATGGAAAACTGAGCTCATTGATAAGGCAAGTACATTGGCAGCTATGAAGTAGTAGGTGAAATGGGTTAAGGAGTGGGTGAGGATAAATTTTATAAAATATTTTTTTAAAAAAGAAACCTCCTGGGGATTGTTGCATTAGACTTGTGAAGCTGCTTCACATTCTCACCACGAGAGACCATAACCCCCCACCACAGACCTATTGACAGTGGGGCCTTTCTTTACCAGTTTAAGAAAGTCAGTCCCTCCCCAGTATCTCATGCCACTTGGTGTTTGCGTCCAAGCATATCACTAATATCTATGTAATGTCATCATTTGTCAAAATAAGTCATTGGACTCCTTTAGAGCATCTTGACTATCTGGCACAGCTCTATTAGTAGATTCTCTAATAATTTGATGAACGAACGAATGAAACCAAGAATAAACCTGTGATATTCAAACACACAGTGTTTGGTTTTTAAGTTTGTTACGGGTTTTTTTTATTAATGGAACAAAGCTGATTTAAGACAAAGAACCAAACACTTTTTGTAGGCTCTTTTAAAAACCAATTTAGAAAGCTGATTCCAGAAGAGACTTTGTTGTTACTGTGTCTGGCATATCGAATACTCTCGGTAGCTTGCCGGGCTCTCCGAAGAAGGGACCCCAAGAAAATTGTTGAGACCAAGAGGAACCAGTGTCCACCTATGCACATTCAAGTCATGGATAGGCTCCTAGGTTATTACATTTTAAGATATAGCCTGGGGTATAGCATATTACATGGCACCTGTTATTCGGTACATGAATCATGAATAATGAAACATTCATGAATTAGTCACAAGGAGATGCATGAACAGGCATAAAGGAAGTTGAGTCTAATTCAATTCACTGTGTTCAATATGTATTTTGAGCTCAACTCTCAACCATAGATTTGGGAATAAATGAAGTGAAAACCCCATTTCAGTTCTACAAGCACTTGATCCTCCTTTGTGTTACATTTTATCTTCTCTTAATGCCCCCTCCTTTCAACCACATTTGGGTTTCCAGTCAAAGGACAACAATGGAAAAAGTAGGTGTACCTCTGATTCCGGATGATAGAAGTGGAAGGGATAAAATATGGGAAAAAGACCTGAGTCCCTATAGCTGTTTCCTATGACCTCTGATCTCTGGGCCCTGCCAGTCCCTCCTTCCAACCAGACACAGAACTAACCAGCTCACCCAGTTTTCTGCAAACCTGCAACCCCTCACTAATCCCACACACAGGATTCTTGTAGTCCTGGCTTTACTTAAGGTTATTAGACTCTTGATAATAGCCTCTTGATTTACTTATGGGTATTCCATACTTTGAAATGTAATTCAAACCCATTTTTTATGTCATAAAAATCTCTTAAGAAAGTATTTGCAGTTATAGTAAAACTCAGTGCTCTGAATCTATTCAAGACAAGGATGGGTTCTTCAATAATCAATCAGTTGTTACAAAAACTCATTCATAGTCAATGACATTTGGACATTTTAGTATAAATAGTGATTCTCAGATTTTGACCTGTATCAGAATTATCAGAGGGACCATTAAACCTTAGATTTATTGGGGCTGGAGAGATAGCTCAGCAGGTAGGGCATTTGCTTTGCATACGGCCGACCTGGGTTTGATTCCCAGCATCCCATATGGTCCCTTGAGCACTGCCAGGAGTAGCTCATGAGTGCAGAGCCAGGAGTAATCCCTGTGTATCGCTAGGTGTGACCCCCCCTCAAAAAACCCCCCAAAAAACAAAACTTAGATTTATTGACACATTCGCCAGATTTTTAAATATGTTGATTGGGGATAAAGCCAAAGTATTTGACAAATTCTTAAGCAACAGAATGTGCAAGTCACAGAAGCACACTCTCAGAACTGTAGGACTGGAACAGACTGAAGACTTCTTAGAAATTACATTGCTTAATGACAGATACCAACATAACTATGTATCAACTATGAATGACTCAGTTGATATATTCATACATATTAAAGTTAAATAGATATGGAACTTTTATTATTAATTGTAATCTTGAGAATAGATACCTTCTCTTTTTTACAAATATGTATTCTCAACAGTAGATCCAAAGATTTAGATAGTGAAGGGATGTGGTTATTATCCTTGCATATGTCACCTCTTACAGATATTTGATAATGGACACACTCAAGAAAACATTGAATGACTTTGGAATCTAGAAGTTGTGGAATGGTCAGCTCTTTTCAAAGGCAGCTGATGTTCGTCTAGCCTTGAGTTGATCTCACCTAGGTCACTGTCACTGTCCTCCTGTTGTTCATTGATTTGCTCGAGTAGGCCCAGTAATGTCTCAGCTGTGACACTTGTTACTGTGTTTGGCATATCGAATACGTCATGTGTAGCTTGCCAGGCTTTGCCGTGGGGGGGCAAGATACTCTAGGTAGCTTGCTGGGCTCTCAGAGAGGGGTGGAGGAATCAAACCTGGGTCGGCCGGGTTGGCTGCGTGCAAGGCAAATGCCCTACCCACTGTGCTAGCGATCTCACCTAGGTGTATTGATTAATTCTATTTCTTCTCCACGGATGAGATAAATCCTGATCAAATTCAGTTGGCTTAGGTAAGACCCATGTTCTCTATTTCTAATAAGTTTCCAAGTGACAATTATACTACTCCTCACCAGGCATAATAAATGTAGATTCAGAATCTCACGTACCTTCCTCCAGTTGGCAAGGTCAGGGTTCTCAGAACTTCATAAAGAATGAACTCTTTCAAAATGAAGCAATTGCTAAAACTTACACAAAAATCGGCCAGTTTCAGGGTCTCTTTCCATTTTCCAATCTGTGTATATCACTTCACCTTCCTAAAAATATTACAGGTTCCTGGTCAGTATTACAGTGACAATTTAGGAGACAAAAGACCTTTCATTCTATTGCTAAGATGAACTGTAACCTAAACAAATACAAAGCATTGGTTAATTAATCGAAGAATGATTTAATATAGCAGGGAAAGAAGAAGTTAAAAACTGATCTCATTGAATAACAAAAATATTAGTTTGTTGCTCCGAGGAACATGCGATAAAAGAGGTGTCGGAGGCGTCAGTGTCCTTGTCAACACAAACTTGGCCATGAGCATTGATTCATTCGAATGCCTAACAGCCCAAATCGGACGTAAACATTTGAATAGATGTGGCTCACTGCCAGCAGTTTCTATCTTCGTTGTCTATGCACCAACATCTCATTATGATGAAAGAGAAATTGAGAAGTTCTACATGGAGCTGGAGAAGTTCTATAAAGAAGACCACACCTTCTACTAGATCATTGTGGGTGATTTTAATGCCAAGATAGGACCGAGAAGATCAGTTGAAGAACTTCACATCGGGACCCATGGCCTAGAATGGAATGAACAGGGTGAGAGACTGTCTGAGTTCATCATGTCGACCAGGACCATCCATGGTAACTCACAGTTCCAGAAGGCAGAATCTAAACGTTGGACATGGGAGTCTCCCAGTGGACGATTCCACAACGAAATAGACCACATCATATTCAATCGACGGTTTTGCCTGACCAATGTTGCTGTTGTCCCAAAATTCCGAACGGGATCAGACCACTGTCTCCTTCTTGCAAAATTCTACTTCATAGAGCGGGGAGAAAGGGCTGCAAAGTTCAAAAAGAGAACTCCCAGAACGACCACCAACTGGGAACTCTTTGGCACTATTGCGGCAACATGGGAAGATGCCATTGTTGACAACATAGACGAGGAATACGATCAACTGGTTCAGCACCTCCATGAATGTGCGAGGAACACCAAGAGATAGCCACAAAAAAACGCCTGTCTTCGAAAACTCTTGAGCTAATTTGCCAGCGTGGTTTGGCGCATGCCTCAGGCAACCGCAAGCTAACGTCAGAGCTCGAAAAGCAGTGCAGAGATGCAATCAAGGAAGACCTCAAAGAGAGAAGAGCAGAAGTACTGGTAGATGCGGCAGAAGCTGGGAAAAGCATTCGTAACTCCCGCCTGTCCTTCGCCAACTACAAGACCAAGATGACTGCCCTCCGACATCCTGATGAATCCATCACATCCTCCAGAACGGCAATGGAGAAGATTATCCATGACTTCTACTCAAATCTCTTCGATAGCCATGTCCACTTGCCGACATACCAAATTCCACAGGATGGATATGTCGTTCCCAACGTTCTCCCTTCCGAAATCTGACAAGCCATTTCGTCGGTAAAGAAACAAACAGCACCCGGGCCAGACAAGGTCAGACCTGAACACCTGAAGAACCTGCCGTCAGTACTCATCAATACACTGGCGCGGCTCTTCACTCGCTACCTGTCTAAATGCAAGGTTCCGTCCCAATGGAAAACCAGCAGGACCTTACTACTGTTCAAGAAGGGAGACATCCATGACATTGGCAACTATCGCCCGATCTGCCTATTGTCTGTCATCTACAAGTTGTTCACTCGAGTCATCCTAAATAGGATTGGCAGAACACTAGATGAAGGACAACCATGCGAGCAACCCGGGTTCCGCAAAGGATTCAGCACCATCGACCATATCCACACGATAACCAAGCTCATTGAGGTTTCTCGGGAGTTCAAGATGCCGCTCTGTTTAACGTTCATTGATTTAAAGAAGGCCTTTGATTCTGTTGAGACGGAAGCGGTCATTGAAGCCCTAGCCAATCAGGGCATTCAAGCCCAATACATCAAGATCCTCCGTGAGCTGTATTACGGATTCACTACCAGGATCTCATCATTCTACAAAGAAGTGATCGTTGATGTCAAGAGAGGGGTTCGGCAGGGTGATACCATTTCACCGAAACTCTTCAGTGCCACCCTCAAGAACATCATGCGACGACTGGAATGGGAAAACATGGGAGTGAAGATAGATGGTCGGCAACTACACTACCTCCGCTTTGCTGATGACATTGTTTTAATAACACCAAACATCAGCCAAGCGGCACAAATGCTGGCCGACTTTGACCGTGAGTGTGGAAAGGTAGGAATACAGCCGAATCTTATGAAGACAATGTTTATGAGAAACAGCCTCGTTCCTGACGCCCCATTTGCTCTCAACGGAACGACCATCTCCGAATGCAACAGCTATGTGTACCTAGGTCGAGAAGTCAACATGACAAATGACCTGGCACCCGAGCTGAGCAGGAGGAAGAGAGCGGCTTGGAATGCCTTCAAGAACGTCGAAGAAATAGCTAAGAGGACGAAGAACCTCCGGCTCCGGGCACATCTCTTTGATTCCACTGTTCTTCCTGCATTAACATATGCCTCAGAGACCTGGGCCCTACGCAAACAGGATGAGAACGCTATTCAGGTCTCCCAAAGAAGAATAGAAAGAGCTATGCTTGGAATATCATGTTTCACTCAAATGAGAGAAAGAATCCGGAGTTCTGACATCCGTCGAGGATCAAAAATCAGGGACGCTGTCTCATTTGCCAAGGTGTCAAAAATCCGATGGGTTGGTCACGTAATGAGATTTAAAGACGACTGCTGGACTAGAGCTGTTACTGACTGGATTCCATGGGATGTCAAAAGACTGCGTGGCCGCCCACCTACCAGATGGTCAGACTTTTTCGTGAAGATCATGAACAATCGGTTTGAGGCTCTTCATGTTCCCAGAGCGAACAGATGCCATTGGGCTACACTAGCACCCGACAGGGACAAATGGAGATGTTACTGGCGCCCACTTGAGCAAATCGATGACTAACGGGAAGTTAAGTGATTAAGTGAAGTGATTAGTTTGTTGAGTTTTCAATCTAACAATAAGTGATGTAAAAAAAATAGGCAATCATGAAGATAATCTATGCACACAGGTTCCAATGACTGGGCTGTTAAATATTTGTCAATAGAAAGTTGTCTCAGTGAACTGAAAGGAAAAGAGTGAATTCAATTACCCAGTGATCTCTCTCCCTAGCATGCTACACAATCAGGGCTTAATAAATATTCTTGGATAAGAAAAGAAATATGAATTCATAATATGGTCATCATTGCCTTTTCAAAATGAGTACAGGAAAAAATGTCCTATGTTCTATCCAAGTAACATAAGCAGTAACTATTTTAGCTTTACTTACAGTATTTTATTTATATTTACAGTATTTTAGAGACCAGAAAAAGTGGAGTGATTTGGGGGCAAAGAGAGGCAGAAAGAGGCCAGAGAAGGACAATAGAGAGAGTCAGTGAATGACAGAGCTACAGAGATTTGAAGGTGATTTATCAGGTTATTTTGTCTGATACCCCCAACTTAAGATAAGAGCTTAACATCCTTTTAAGTAGGTTTCTAAACCAGTTCAGTGTGCCAGAACATGTGCTTTGTATGTATAAGGTCATGCCAGTGTGCTGGGGGCTACTCTGGACTCAACTCCATTCTGGATGGTCAAGGAGAGAGGTAGGTGAGGTGTTGGGGACCACAAAAAAATTTGAGTTTTAGGGACTGGATGTGACTCATTGGCAGGACACATACCTTAAAGGTATGTGGTTCTGGATTTGGTCCCTCATATAGTTTTAGCAAAGTGGGTAGGGCATTTGTCTTGCACTCGGCTGACCCAGGTTTGATTCCTTCACCCCTCTCAGAGAGCCTGGCAAGCTACCGAGAGTATCCTGCATGCAGGACAGAACCTGGCAAGCTCTCCGTGGTGTATTCAATATGCCAAAAACAGTAACAAGTCTCACAATGGAGATGTTACTGGTGCCCGCTAGAGCAAATTAATGAATAATGGGAGGACAGTGGTACAGTGCTACAGTTTTAAAAACTTAGTTCTTATTTGTTTCACCGAATCTTCACTAAAGAATTTAAGCAGAGGGTAATAAGTTTTCATTTCTTTTTAAAGATCTCGTAGCCATTTGTCTTCCTAGAGGGATTGATTTTTGTTACACTATTACTTGCTTAAAGCTCTGATGTGCTTCAAGATAAATATGTTCCCTTGCTGCACTGTTTACAATAGCCAAAATCTGGAAAAAACTTGAGTGCCCAAGAACAGATGATTGGTTAAAGAAACTTTGGTACATCTACACAATGGAATACTATGCCGCTGTTAGAAAAGATCAAGTCATGAAATTTGCATATAGGTGGATCAACATGGAAAATATCATGTTAAGTGAAATGAGTCAGAAAGAGAGGAACAGGCATAGAAAGATTGCACTCATCTGTGGAATATAAAATAACAGAATGGGAGATTAACTCCCAGGGGTAGTAGAGATAAGGACCAGGAGGTCTGCTCCATGGCTTGGAAACCAGCCTCTCATGCTGGGGGAAAAGGCAGTTCAGGTAGAGAAGGGAACACCAAGTAAAAGATGTTGGGAGGACCCATTCGGGTTGAAAGATGCATGCCGAAAATAGACTACAGACCGAACATGATGGCCACGCAATACCTCCATTGCAAACTGTAACACCCAAAAGGAAGGAGAACAAAAGGGAATGCCCTGCCACAGAGGCGAAGTAGGGTGGGGGTGGTGGGGGTGGTGGGGGTGGTGGGAAGAACGTTGGGAACATTGGTGGAGGAGAATGGGCACTGGTGGAGGGATGGGTAATCGATTATTGTATGACTGAAATACGAAAATTCATAAGCTTGTAACTGTACCTCACAGTGATTCAGTAATAAAATTTTTTTTTAAAAAGATAAATATGCTTCCACTAATATGAGGTAGAACAGTCTCAAAGATAGAGAGTGAAAATAGAATGGTGGTTGCCATGTCCTGGGGCAGAAGAGAATGAGGAGATCAGCTTTCATGTGTGCAGAAATTCAGTAGTGAGGAGAAAAAAGCACTAAGATGGGCAACGACCATGGAGACTTAAGTGACAGGAATCTACCTACCTACTACTAAATTGCACATTTAGACTGGTGAACAGGGAGCATTTCTGTTATTTGTACTTGCCACCATTTTCAAAACAATTTTTGTTTTGTTTTTGGGGGGCTCACACCTGGTGATGCTCAGGGGTTACTCCTGGCTCTGCACTCAGGAATCACTCCTGGCTGTGCTCAGGGGACCATATAGGATGCTGGGAATTGAACCAAGGTTGACTGCATTCAAGGCAAATGCCTTATCCACTGCACTATTGCTCCAGCCCCTAAAAACTTCTTTAAAAGGCAGTACGAAACCCAAATCATAAACACATGGACATTTGGTATTGTACCGTTGCTTACTGAAAGTAATTTAAATGATGGCTAACATGACAAAAAGGCCTTTTGCTTGGGCCTCCATCTTGGTTTCTATTCTAGGCAGAGCTTCCCTTCTCACACCAAACTCTTTTGCTGTCTCCTGACAAGTCCTTTTATAACTTTTCTAATTCCCCATTGTTTTTTGGGGTACTTCTCCTGAGGTTGGACTCTCTCACCTTGACGTTTCAGGTTCCTTCTAAACCTTCAATCTCCAGACAAACTACATGTGCCCCCCCACCTCCCCCAACCCTTCACTCCCTTCTCCCAACCCCCTCCCTCCCCCCCCCCACCCCCGCCACTTCTTGGAGATGAATCATGCTGTCAAGGTGTCAGATCCTTGGGCAGTGATGTATGAAGAGAGGACCCTGGTGTTGACTCCTCTCTAGTCCAGAGCCTTACACTGCTCAGCAGGCATTTCTGTCTCAAGAGCTGGGAAGTTGACTAACTCCAGAGTGGCACCAAAATATTCACACAAATTGCACACAGTAAGGCTGAGCTCTGGCCTGGCCTGGGAAGACACTTCAAGGAAATGAATTCTGCTTCTTCAAATTGTCTGTATAATCTGAGTCTTGTAAAATGGTTATAAATTCAACCTTAAGCGTGATTGGGATTCAATGTAATATGATTTAAAGACTACCTGGCACAGAATTTTTCTATATAGAAAATGCCCAATCAGCATGAAATCATGTTTGTTCTAGCTATAAGTATAAGAAATGGCAGTCATAACCAATGATCAAATCCTTTGAATAGAATTAAGTACATTTTTAGTATTCAGCACTGTTTATAGGTTGTTCTACTATATTTGATAATTTATCAATAAGTTATTAGTAGAAAAATTCAGACCTGATTTATGATTTTTTTAATCCTTGTACATGAACATTTCAAATATGAATCTGAGGCATTAAAGTCAAGATTTTAGTGAAAATAAACATCTTATGAAAACAGTATAAATGTTGCAAGTCTTCATAAAGCAATCAAGAGCTATCACCATGCATTTCAATGTAATTACAACAATTAGTAAAACATGTAACTGTGATTCACCTCTGTTCCCACAAAGAACTTTGTGCAGAAGTCTTCTATTGGCTTAAAGTGATCAGTCATCCCCACTTCCAGATTATTGTATAGGCTCATATCTCCTATCTTCATTGCTGCGATCTGGGCTGACTTGTCTTTCAGTGGAGTAAGGATAAAAGGATTATTATAAAACATAGTTAGTTTATGTTTTACATTCCTTGTCCTGTTCCCTCCCCAGCATGATGAACAGACATAAAAGTATCTCTAGGGTTGGAGCTATAGTACAGCAAATAGGGCACTTGCCTTGCACATGGGCAACCTGAGTTTGATCCTGGGAACCCATGTGGTCCCCCAAGTTCCACCACGGAGTGATTCCTGGCAGAACGAGAGCCCTGAGCACTGTCGGGTGTGACCCAAAACCAGAACAAAACAAAAAGCATCTTTATACTTAAAATTTAGGAGAAGAATAATTTTTTCAAGCCAAAGCTTATATAGATCCCCTACATGAAATACTAATCAGTCTCAAGGCTCTGGGAGAGTGTTTGCTGCCCTCTCCCCTGCCTACTTCTCAAAAATTCTGTTGAACACCATTTGAAAATCACTTCACATCATTATAAATTTATTTATAGCAAAAATGGGGCAGAAAATAAACCCTTTGGTTAGTTTATTTTGATAGTCTCAATAACTCTCTAATAAAAAACTCATGCCATTTTTCAGTTGACATCAAATGAAAACGCTTCAAATCATTTAAAAGTAACCTTGTTAGTGTCAAAAATTTCTTAACTTAGAAAATGATATCTAAATTTATTTTAAATGTATTACTTGTTATAAAATATGTGTGTTAATTACACATGAGCATAAAACATATGTTTTCTGAATAGCTCAGGTTCATTGCTAATGAACATCAATCATTATATTAGAGCTGTAATTATACATACAAATCATAAGATCATAGCTAATTCAGGGGTTGAAATTGAAACATCATCCAGAATTTCTTTCTTTGTAAAAGTGCTTGATGTCTAAAAAGCTTTTATTATTATCTAAAACAAATCTTTTTTATTGAGACCTTTGAAATGAGAAAAAAGCATAAGAAACTGTCATCCATGATCAAAACTAAGATGCAAAAACAATTTATTATTACATCTCTCATAGATTGCAGCTATTAAAACATTGCATGTTTTCCACTATTGTTAATGGAGAAAATATAAAGATTTAGTTTTGAAAATTGAAATTTTAGTGTTGTATCCTATTTTCTTTTCTATAGATACATCTCAGGCGTTTTCTCAAATTATTCATTAGTTTTCATTTTAGTTTGTATTTTGGGGGGGTTCCACACTCAGAGATGTTCAGGGCTTACTCCTGACTCTTCGACCAGGGGTCATGACTGGTGGGGCCTGAGGGACCATATGTGGTGCTGTGGATTGAACTGGGTTTTTTGCATTCAAGGAAAGCACCTTATCTTCTTATTATCTCTCCAGATCTTAGAATTTTTTCAATGTAGTATTTAGGGCTGCGGAGTTGGTTCAAAAGACTGAAACACGTATTTTTCATGTGATAACCCTGGGTTTGATCCCTGGCACTTCATGGTCCCCCAACCACCAGCAGGAGTTCCCCATGAGCACTGTGCCAGAAGTAGCCTCGAGCACTGGGTATAGTGTGAAAACAAAAACAAAAACAAAAAAAGGTTTTATTTATGTAATTGATGTAATATTTATGTAATTGAAATAATGTTGCAGAATTTATAATATTTAACTTCTGGGAGAGATGGCAGAAAAATATATGCTCATAAACCCCCCAAACATTCTCTGGATTATATCATCCATGAGAAAAAAAGCCATAAAAAACCAACAATATGCAGCTATATAAAAAAATGACCATGTATGGATACATCTTCATCTAGATACATGTATAGATACATGTTCATATAGGGTAACTCCAGACTAAAAACAATGCTTACCATTTATTAGATACAGTCAACCAATACCTCCTTTGTGCTGTAAGTAATTTTTTTTTTTCACTCCCTCCTCCCTACATCATTGTTGTTCTTGGTGTGATGGCCAGAGGCCACACACTCCTGGCTGTGCTCACTAGAGTCCCAGATCAGGTTGTGGCGCTCACACACAGCCTCAGTTTTTACCCCATTTTCCTGCCCTGTGGTTGTGGGTTGGCACCTGTGCTGGGGCTGGCACTCCTAACCGAGACACAGTTCTGTAGGTGCTTGCCGCAGTGCTCAGGCGTGATTCCTGGCTTTGGTGCTTGCACATTCTTTGAGTAGCTCTGCCAGGGTTGGACCGTTTTGTGGTGCTCACACACCCCTGTCTGTGCAGTGTTTGGGGGCCACAGATAACATAGCTTCTAGGCTCAAACAGCAAAGCTCCTAGCATCTTGTCTCGATGTGGTGACACTAGAGATTTGAACTCCTAACCATACACTTGCGAGGCAATATACTTTAAGCCCTGTTTCAACTGTAGTGGTGACCCCATTTGAGAACTTTTGCTTTGAAATAGATTTCTTTATCAACGATTATCAGCAAATGTTTTATATACCTGCAGACATGGAGTCATGTGAAAGTGTCCCAGGTGAAAACAGTCACAAATGAGTAAGTGTAAGAAGGCTGCTCTAAGTCATTGGGACCTATGTTTTATTTTTCCCACCAGTTAACTGTTGAGAATAAGTACAAAAAGAAGCCAAAACGAATTTTTAATAGCTAAACCACAGTATCAATCACCACTTCAAACAACAGCACCTGCAATTACATTGTGCTTACTAAAAGATATTATTCATGTACCAAAGAGCAAAAAGTATATTTTTATCAGTATATTTTAATATATAAAATTGCAATGACTAAAATGTTTGTGTCAAATTCTTCATTCTCGTTTCAATGTCTATTTTTTAAAAAGAAAATCTATGTAAGTGTATTTAGCAGAGTAGAACATGCACATAATTTGCATATAAATCCGTGTTCATTGAGAATATATTTTCTAACATGAGCTTATAAACGGGGAAGATATGACCCCTGTGGGCCTCATCTCTTGGAATCATGAGACCACATCCCAGAAGTGCTTCCAAAAGCACATAGAGCAGGAAGAGAGCAACATAGTATGTCCAGGTCCTGCTCCAGACTGTCTTCACCTGGGCAACTCGGAGGCAGGAGCAGATTGAGTTTCCCTCCCTGCCCCAACAGAGCCCCGGCAGCTGAAAACATCTGAAACCCAACTGTCGCCATGCCCAGAGCAGCTCTCCATAGGCTCAGATGAGTCACACCCATGAGGGAATCCGCAGAAAAATATAGGTATGCAGGGCCCATGACTTTTCTCCAAGCTTGCTCAGAGTGGGAATGGGCCTCCTCCCCTCATCTCCCAAGTTTTTCAGTAGCTTGGAAGCCACATCCACAAACTATGACTCCCCCCCACTCTCCAGACACCCCCACTCTCCACACTCCCTCCACCCCGCCCCGTCTCCCTGCCATATAATCTCATCAACGACCAAGATTCAGAGACTCTTTATTTAAGCTCCTGGGAGAGAGCAACATAGGCCTCACTCAGGAATGAATCTGCTACTGTATAATCATGTTCTAGATTTTAGAATTCCTGGAGTAACCACTCATACTCTATTCCACTGATTTAACAAGAGTAGCACACAACATTTGATTGGGTTTCACAAACATGTTAGTAATCTCTTATACAAGGGCTTAATGGCTCCAGGATGAAATAGGACAATCTTCACACACTTTCCTCTAAGGAAACTTTATTAGACCATTTTTAGCAGATTATTCATAATAAGCAATACAAAATTAGTTGTTTCAGTTTGGGGGGCACAGTTAGGGATTTGGGGTGAAAACATTCAAAATTTGGTGGTGGAAAGGTGCAATGGTGGTGAGGTTGGTATTTGAATATTAAATGTAATGAATTATTATGAATAACTTTATAAAAACAAAGTAAAGTTAGGACAAAAGCACATAGTGCAAAGGCGTTCTCTTGAGTAAACAACAGAAATTCTTCAAGAACGGCTTGCACACTGCATTGCAAAGAATGCGCAGCGTGCGGTCACTAGATGGCAGCAGAATATGAGATGCTAAGACTGAGTGTGGTCCCAGCATGTTAGAGAGGGCAGATTCTGGTTCAGGGTCCAAGCAGCGCTATAGGCTCAGTAAGCAGAATTAGCAGAATGAGACCAAGAAGCACAGGACGGTATCTGCATCAGAGGTACCATCAGGCCAGAGTAGATGAAGTCACAGAAGGAGATTGAAGAAAAAACCTAAATGTGCACTCTTGAAGTTAATGTAATGCTTAATTCAATGTTACTTCAACTACCGAATAAATAAATAAAAGGGAAAGGATGAAGGACAAAAAGGTATTATACTCTTGATAATAAAAAGTAATTGGGGGGGGGGGGCTGGAGTGATAACACAGCAAATAGGGCGTTTGCCTTGCACGCGGCCAACCCAGGTTTGATTCCCAGCATCCCATATGGTCCACTGAGCACTGCTAGGAGTGATTCCTGAGAGCCAGGAGTAAGCCCCGAGCATCGCCAGGTGTGACCCAAAAGGCAAAAAAAAAAAAAGAAAGAAAGAAATTTGAGGCTGGAGCAATAGCACAGCGGGTAGGGTGTTTGCCTTGCACTCTGTCGACCCTGGCTCGATTCCCAGCATCCCATAGGGTTCCCTGAGCACCGCCAGGGGTAATTCCTGAGTGCAGAGTCAGGAGTAACCCTTGTGCATCACTGGGTGTGACCCAAAAATAAGTTAGGTAAATAGAAAGTTGGATGGCTATCATAATATTAGACTAATTATATTTCAGAGTAAGAATATTGCAATTCATCGAAGTGACATAACAGTTTTAATAAAGGAGCTTCAAAACATGAGAAACAAAAGATGATAGAACTTCAAGGAGAAATAGACAAATCCTCACTACTGGGTGTGGGTGCTTTCCCCCCAAAATGAAAAAACAAAAGAATCCAGAAATTTAGGTAGGAGAAAAATGGCCTTTGATTCCCTCTAGAGAGAAGTGAACCCAAACACACACACACACACACACACACACACACACACACACACACAATGGGATATTTTGTTTGTTGTTTGTGTTTGTGGGCTACTCCTGGGGGGTTTGGAGGCTACTCTGGGCTGTGCTCCACCTTCAGGGTTTACCCCAGGCAGTATGTCAAGGACCATTCGGTGCTTGGGCTCCAGCCTTAGAGCTCTCTTCCTGATCTAATATATGGTATGTTTTGATACAGTTTTCCCCTGCTAGCCAAAAGCTAGCCAAAAGGACAGCATTTTTTAAAAAATCAAATTGTAAAGAAATGACCAAAGATGATTGCCACTCAGTGCCTCTCTTGCAAACCACAGAACCCAAAAGGAGAGAGAGACAAAAGGGAATGCCCTGCCACAGAGGTAGGATGGGATGGGGGGTGGGAGGAATACTGGGACCCATGGTGGTGGAAAATGGGCACTGGTAGAGGGATGGGTACTTGGTCATTGTATAACTGAAACCCAAGCACAAAAATTTGTAAGTCTATAACTGTACCTCATGGTGTTTCACTAATAAAAAAAAGAAAAAAAAAGGAAAATTAGAAATAGTCATGTGGTCCTAGAATCCCACATTAAATCTATCCTTGTCAGAAAAAAAAAAGTAAAGAAATGGCAGAAGGTAAAATAGTCAACTCTTATGTTAGAGGTAAAGTTTGAGCTCTCTCAAACTCCCCAGATAGCTAACTAAGTCAAATCAAATAATATATTAAGTCTGCAATAACACTAACATGGAGTAAGCAGGAATAACATGATGAAGATATGAATAATGAGTTCCCTGTGAAGTAGCGTGGCACTGCCAGTCTCTCTGCTCCGTACACACTGTCTCTATCAGCTGCTGCAAAAGGTGGAATGCTCTTTCTACTTTTCACCTTTTGCCATAAAACAGTTCTCTTCATTTTTTTTTTCAATTAGTGAAAACGAATACAAACATAGATTTTATTATTGTTTTTTTGGTAAAAGTCAAGTGATACAATGCAAACTTTTAGAAAGCAGAGATATCTGCATTGTTTTGAACAGGTCTAAAAAGATTCAGTGATTCCCCGTTTTCAGCAGTTCTTGCATTGCATCTACAATGTATATTTTGAATTCAACCTCAACAAGTCATATTTTGCTCAAGTTGAATGTTGAAGGTAATTCCTTTTAGAACTTCTATCATTTAACCGAAAAATTTATATTTGGAGATCCTTTTGATAAGGTGGATAGTTGAAAAACACTTCTTAATCTAGGAACTTTTTTTTTGCTTTTTTTTGGGGAGGGGGGTCACACCCGGTGATACTCAGGGGTTACTCCTGGCTCTGCACTCAGGAATTACTCCTGGCGGTGCTCGGGGGACCATGTGGGTGCTGGGAATCGAACCCGGGTCAGCCTCGTGCAAGGTAAACGCCCTGCCCGCTGTGCTATCGCTCCAGCCCCCAACGAACACTTTGTTTTTAAAGCTGAATATCAATGGGAGAGGTCCCAGGATCCCCTTCACACTGGGAGCCTACACAACAACAACAACCACAACAAAAGAAAACTAAACACATTTTTATTTATGAGCTGTGCTCAAGGTAGAATATCCAAACATACCTTTATTTTAATTATTTATTGTTAATATGCTTTATAAGATATATCTTCATTTCAATAGCTTTATTTTAATATGAACGCCCTTAAGTTACTTCAACAAAAATGCACAGACTCAGTTGAGATTAATCTAATAATCTAACAGTGTCTTTTTTTATTTTTACAATTTTTATACATTTAGTTTCATAAAGAGTTCACAATAGTTCATTACAGATAATATTCAAACACCCACCCAACCAGTGAGCATCTTTCCACCACAATAAGAGGGAAGTGTGTGAAGGTTGCTGTATTTCATTCTGGGGCCTGTATATAAAAGAATACAAGCAAGTATGTTAAAGCCAAACACACGTGTGCTTTAGGTACATCAGTGGGCTAGAGTTAAGAGCAGGAAATCCTGTATCGCTCTCTTCCGGGAACTTTAGTTTAGAGTCTCTGGATCTTGGCCGTTGATGAGATTACATGGCACAGGGGGCAGTTTGTGGGTGTGACTGCCAAGCTATAGGAAAACTGGGGATCTGAGTGGAAGAGGCCCAGTCCTGATCCAAGCAGGCTTGGAGATCTCAGCTAACACTGTTTCTTTACTTTTTTAAATTTTAATTTAAGTTTTTAGGTTTTGTTTCTTTTTTTCTTTTTGGGTCACACCCGGCGATGCTCCTGGCTCTGCACTCAGGAATTACTCCTTGCGGTGCTTGCAGGACCATATGGGATGCCAGAGATTGAACCCAGGTCAGCTGCATGTAAAGCAAATGCCCTACCCACTGTACTATCATTCCAGCCTTTGGAAAGGAGCAATAATACATAAAAAAATTAATATGTACAAGGTGGCTTTTTTAAAAAGTAAGTTTTTTAAAAAGGTACCTCGTGGGAGATGCAGGTTGAAAGTAGACTGGACTGAACATGTCTGCCACTCAATGCCTCTTTTGCTGATCACAACACCCAAAAGGAGAGAGAGAACAAAAGGGAATGCCCTGCCACAGTGGCAGGGGGGGATGGGGGGGATGGGGGGATGGGGGGGGGAGGGATATTATCCTGGTGGTGGAAAATGGGCACTGGTGGAGGGATGGGTATTTGATCATGGTATGACCGAAATCCAAGCACAAAAATTTGTAAATCTACAACTGTACCTCATGGTGTTTCACTAATAATAATAATAAAAAGGTACCTCGTATATATTAATTTTTCTACTACATTCCAATTAAGGATGGTTAGCTTCATATGGTTGGCTTCATCACATTTCACAGCTCATTCTGCTAGACTTGAGATGTGTTTGATTCTGTAGATTTATTCTTTGCGTATATAATATTTGTAAGGTTCTCATCAGACTTTACAAGCGAGATTTATATGGGGCCAGAGAGATAGCTCAGTGATCTGGGGCTCATAACTTGTATATGCAGAAACCTGAGTTCCACTCCCAACACAGAATCGGTCCCTGAGCCATTGCCAGGGACAGCCCTGGTGGCCTCTAGCACTGTCTTGTCACACAACCCTGCATTGCTGCCTTAGTACTGAACATTTGACCCAGCTCTGTGGAAGCGGCCCCCCAGCTCCATGAGCATATTTGGGCCCCTAAACCTTACCAAAGAGGCTTATTTAAATTTTTCAATGGGATGAGTTTTGTAAAATTCATAAATATGTTGAATAAATGTTGGTAAGATTGAAGTAAAATCTGGGAAATTGTTTTGTGTGTCAAGACAGTTTTAACCTGCCAGTTACATAGCTGTTACAGCTTGGATAAAGCTCCACATCAGAAGTCTTGATTTTCTGCATTATTTGAAAAAAAAAATAGGCTATTCTAAGAAGAAACTCAGGGTGGACATAATGAACCACAAACACTCAAAGAATTAAATCTTTTAGTAAGCAAAAGCCATTACCTTGTCCTTTGTATGCGAAATGGTCTTTACTCAGCGTTAACTTTGTCGGGCAGTGATCTAAAGTTGTTTCACCTTTAGACAGCCTCATCTTTGGGGAGAATACACAATAAAGGTTAGTTCTATATATCCTGAAATCTGTAGCACTGTAGCACTGTCCTCCCATTGTTTATCAATTTGCTCAAGTGGACACCAGTAACATCTCCATTGTGAGACTTCTTGTTACTGTTTTTGGCATATCGAATACGCCATAGGGAGCTTGCTGGGCTCTCCGAGAGGGGCGGAGAAATCCTGGTTGGCCAAGTGTGAGGCAAACGCCTTACCCGCTGTGCTAATATCTTCTTGCCTTTTCCTTCTTCCTTCTGCCCTCAGATTACTGTGGCCCTCCTTCCCTTCCTGCTCTTTCTTCTCAGATTTCTGGTTACATCTCCCCACAGAAAGCACCCAGATCAACTTTCTAAAATTGTGCTGCTGAAGGGAAATTTGGAGGAGGACTTCACTCCCATATCCCCAAATCCCATGTGTAGTTTATTTTTGAAAGATGTTTGGCATTTAATCTTAATATAAAATAACGTCTCCTTCTCCTGTTGCCTAAGTTTTTCATTAAAGGAAGCACCGACACATTGATCAGGGAATGTGCACCTACCTGTCACTGCTGAGTGCCCCCACCTTGGGGACACATTTACTCCTAAGATTCAGAAGTGGACAGGGCCTTGACGGAGTGGGAAAACGTCACAATTGACTTTTTCCTCCATGGTTCTTACAACTTGTCTCCCTCGGGATGTTTGCCCATGAGTTAGCAATAATTCTAAAGTGATTTTTTTCTAAAGTATTTACAGGTCAACAAACAGCCCGTGTGATTTCTTTTTTCTTCTCTCTCTCTTTTTTTTTTTTTTTTAGCTCTTTGGGTCATACCCAGCAATGCGCAAAAGTTACTCCTGGCTCTGCACTCAGGAATTACTCTCAGTGGTGCGTGGAGGACCATATGGGATGCCGGAGATCAAAACTGCGTCAGCTGCTTGCAAAGCAAACACACTACCTGCTATGCTATCACTCCGGCCCCCAGATAATAATTTTTTTCTTAAAAGAGCCCCATCACAAAAATTCCAGCAAGACTGGCTATTCCCACAGATGACATATTTTGTTTTAAAATGTTTCCAAATTTTCAAAACCTTAAAACTATTCTTTTAATTTACACATAAAGCTCCAGAACATAGAATCCGGGAAACATCCTAGGAGCAGACCCCATGTGGGTCTTGATGTCTCTCAAACACAGTCTCTACATTTAAAGCATCTGTCAGGGGAAATACAGACACGGGCACTCTCACCTGCACCAATTAGGCAGTTGAGTTTCCCAGATTTGGGGGGATTGTGGAGGTCTGTACCTCCAGAGGAAGAAAACCGCCCTAGTGATGGAGAGATCTCCCTGCCAGGAGACACCTGAGTATCTAACTAACCACATAATCCCACATGATGCAAGAATATTGTCACTTCGCTGGGCCATTTCTTCTACTTGGGACAGATACACAGTAATAATGTAACTCTAGTGATGCAGATATATGGCATTAGAATCAGACCTTCTAAAGAAAGCCATCCCATGCTACAAGTTCATTCATACTTTCCACTTATATCCCCCGTCCACAGTCATATTTTCATTAAAAATTGTTTTTGCTCCAAGACCTACCATTCAATGACAATTTAAAATAATTTCTTCTTCAGTTTTCAGTTTTGTTTTCTCACTGGTATTACAGAACTATTTCCTATTATTGATGTGCAAAATATACAGAATTTGAATTACAATAGAGTTAAAATGGACTTTTCCCCAGGCTAAGTTGAGTGGTCAATTTTGAGCAACTAATATATAATTGAATCTATAATAAATAATTTGTTATACAAATTTCTTCTTACTTGTAGCTTTCCTATATAGGAATAAATAGTAAGTTCACAGTAATTGTTATTTCTGACTTAATCTAGACAGGCATCATATTGCTCAAAGTCTTTATAGGTTGAATAAATACATGAATTGTCAAATCCACTGTTAACATGAACTGTATTACTACGAGACTGTCTGTATCTATGCTTATTATATAAAATTATATGTGCGTTAAATTATATTATATATCCAAGGAATTAAATCAACTAAATCCCATGTTATTTACCTTAGTGATGGGTTTCCAGGAGAGATCTAGATGTGAAAATGTAGGTGGCACATCCAAAGAAACTTCAACAATTTCTTCTTTCCTTTTCTCTGTTGGCTGAGGAGGTGCTTGTGCAGGTGGTTGGCTGGGTGGTTGAGGAACTAAAATTTTCTGTGATCTGACATCCCAAAAGCATATTGTGCTTAAAAAAAGTTTACATTTTACTACTTTATTACGTACAAATGAGAGGAGTAAACTTAGAACAACCCTTGCAGTTATACATTAGCAATGTAACCATGATTTATTTTAATATCCCTGAAACCAAGATTTTTATGAAATGGGACATTTTTGTATATTAGAAAATTATAAAATTTATGCTTAATGACATCACTAGCCTTAATACCAACATCATATGTGAGAATTGAGGTTAGAGAACTCAGTCTTTTTTTTTTTCGCTTTTTGGGTCACACTTGGCAATGCACAGGGGTCACTCCTGGCTCTGCACTCAGGAATTACTCCTGGTGGTGCTCAGGGGACCATATGGGATGCTGGGAATTGAACCCGGGTCGGCCGCGTGCAAGGCAAACACCCTACCCGCTGTGCTATCACTCCAGCCCCACTCATAGTATTTTTTAGAGAATTTCAGTTGTATTCATGTAGGTCACATACCACAAAACTCACCTATTTAAAGTGCATAATTCATTTTAAGTGTACATGTTACAATTAGAGTGAATTTAAATGGCTATGACAATCAATTTTAAAAGATTTTCACCAAGGACCCATGCAACTCCCCTCCAGAAGAACCCTGTACACATCGTTTGTAAAACCGTGTTACCACTAACCACTCCCTCCTACCTCCACCTGATCACTTTACTTCCTTTCCCTATGGATTTTCCTATTCTGAGATCACCGAATGTGTGTGTGTGTGTGTGTGTGCGCGCGCCCCAGCACCCTTCCACTTTACTTCCTATCCCTGTAGATTTGCCTGTTCTGAGATCACTGAATGTGTATGTGTGTGTGTGTGTGTGTGTGTGTGTGTGTGTGTGTGTGTGTGATTGGCTTCTTCAACTTAGCATGCTTTCAGCGTTTATCTATGCATAATATATATCCGCACACATTTTATTCCTTATATAGATACACCACATCTTATTTACCTAATCCCCAGTGAAACTACTGATGACAAAGAGATAGCTTGGGTTGTTTCTCCTTTTTTTTTTTTAATTTTTATTAGTGAGACATCATGAGGTACAGTTGTAGACTCACAAATTTTTGTGCTTCTGTTTCAATTATACAATGATCAAATACCCATCCCTCCACCAGTGCCCATTTCTCCTTGTTAACCTTCATGAGTAATGCTGCTACAAACATCTTAAGTGTACTGTGTAGATAGGTGTTATCACTTTGGTTCTGTATCTAAAAGAATTTATGGCAATATAGTAACTTTTGTATTTAACTTTTTTAGCAATTGTATCATTTGTACATTCTTATAAAACTGAATATCCCAGTTTTTCCATATACTTGCCAGCACTTGTTATTTTCTTTATATTTATTATAGACATTCTAGTGGATACTAAGTGGTATCTCATCAAAACTAACTTTTTAAATTTTATTTATTTTTTTATTAAAAATTTTTTTAATAGTGAAACATCATGAGGTACAGTTGCAGACTTACACATTTTTGTGCTTGGGTTTCAATTATACAATGATCAAATACCCATCCCTCCACCGGTGCCCATTTCCCGCCACCACGAATCCCAGTATCCCTCCCACCCCCCATCCCCCCCATCCCACCCTGCCTCTGTGGCAGGGCATTCCCTTTTGTTCTCTCTCTCTTATTGGGTGTTGTGGTTTGCAAAAGAGGCAATGGGTGACCATCATGTTTAGTCTATAGTCTACTTTCTGCATGCTTCTCCCATCCTGGGAGGATCCTCCCAACACCTTTATATGGTGTTCCCTTCTTTATCTGTGCTCTCTTTTCCCCTAGTATGTGTGGTTGGCCTCCAAGCCATGGAGTAAAATTCCTGGTACTAATCTCGACCATTCTTGGGTGTTAGTCTCCTATTTTGTTACTTTATGTTCCCCAGATGAATGCAATCTTTCTATGTCTATCCCTTTCTTTCTGACTCATTTCGCTTAACATGATACTTTCCATGTAGTACCACTTGTATGTAAATTTTGTGACTTCATCTTTTCTAACAGCTACATAGTACTCCATTGTGTAAATGTACCAAAGTTTCTTTGACCAGTCATCTGTTCTCGGGCACTCAGGTTTTTTCCAGATTCTGGCTATTGTAAAGAGTGCTGCAATAAACAGACAATTGCAGATGTCACTTCGACTATACTTTTTTTGCCTCTCTGGGATATATTCCCAGGAGTGGTATTGCTGGATCAAATGGGAGCTCAATTTCTAATTTTTTGAGAATCATCCATACTGTTTTCCAAAAGGGCTGAACCAGTTGGCATTCCCACCAACAGTGAAGGAGTGTCCCTTTCTCACCACATCCACGCCAGCACCGATTGCTTTTGTTCTTGTGGATATGGGTCAGTCTCTGTGGTGTGAAGTGATATCTCATTGTGGTTCAAAACTAACTTTTATTTTGCATCTGCTTGTGTTTTGGCTGTAGAAATCACCTTTATCCAATGTCATGAACATTTGTGACTGAGAGTTTTATAATTTTTTTCTGAGAGCTTTTTCTCTGAGAGTTTTAGTTTTAGGTCATACATTTACACCATTATTTCATTCTTGTTAATTTTTGTGAAAGCTGAAAAGCAGGGATTCAACTTCACTGTTAAATGTGACTATCCGATTTTCTTGGTAACAAACTATTCTTTATCAAATTGTTTCAGCATCCTGAATTAAACTCTTCATTGATATACTAAATATGTGTGCATGTGTGCATGTGTGCGTGTGTGCATGTGTGTGTGTGTGTGTGTGTGTATCTTTATGCCAGTATCAGTACATCTATATCTATTACCATAACTTGAAGAGAGTTTAGACACACAAAGTCTGGGTCCTCTTATTGTGTTTTTTTTTCCAAAGACAGTTTCGGCTATTTTATATTGCCTTGTCATTTGAATTTGAATTTCCTTGACAGCTAATGACATTTATCTTTTCATATACTTTATTGGTTATTCATATCATTAAAAATGTCTACTGAGAATCTGTGCTCATTTTTTAAAATGAAAAAATACCAGCGAATTTATTATTGATGCTGTGGTATTGGCACGCAGTGTGTCAGAGACAACACAATTGGTTGTGGTGCCAGGGAGCTTCATGGCAGTGCAGGGGAACCTACTCACAACTCTATTCCTGCCAGGTAAATGCTCTACTGCTGGGCCTTAGCACTGGGTCCTGCTCATGTTCACATTAGGCCGTTCATTTTCCTTTTATTGTTGAGTCATAAGAGTTCTTTCTTACCAACTATATGAATTGCAGTAAGATAGGATAGGAGAAAGGCACTTGCCTTGCAAGTAGCAGTTTCTGGTACTACATATGATCCTCTAGTACCACCAAGTGACCCTTGAGTGGAGAGCCAGGAATTGACCCCAAGCACTGGTGGATGTGGCACAAAACCCAAATCCATGTTCCCAGATCCCAAAAGGATATAAATCCTTTGGGTGATATTTTTATGTTATGTATGTATATAGACAGATGGGCCCGAGCGATAGCACAGCGGTAGGGCATTTGCCTTGCACGCAGCTGGCCTGGCAGAGCCGGGTTCAATTCCTCCACCTCTCGAGGAGAGCCCGGCAAGCTACCTAGAGTATCTTGCCCACACAGCAAAGCCTGGCAAGCTACCTGTGGCATATTCAATATGCAAAATACAGTTAACAACAAGTCTTATGATGGAGACATTACTAGGCCTGCTTGAGCAAATCGATGAACAATGGGAGGACTGTGCTACAGTGCAGTGATAGATAGATAGATAGATAGATAGATAGATAGATAGATAGATAGAAAGAATCAGCTCTCATCCTGTGGCTGTCTTTTTCAATTTCTTGATAGAGATTTTTGTGTTTTTATTTCTTTCTCCTGGTGTGTGAGCACACCCAGCAGTGCTCAGAGCTTATTCAGGCGCTGCGCTTAGAGATCATTCCATTATTGTTGCTGTGCCTCATGGGAAACTGCATCCAGGAACCACTAAGGTGACTGGCAAAGGCTGTTGGGCTTCCTCACAGCTGTTTTGTTGCTATTGTGTTGGGGCAGTGACTGCTCTCCTAAATGAGATGGCATTGTGGGCAGCTAGAGGAGCTATGATCACAGCAAGACTAGCTCTGGTTCATGGGCAGTGATTCTTAATTCCTTTCCTCCCCTCCCCACCACCAAGGATGACAGAATTCAGTTTTGTCAAACTAGTTTTTAACAGAAATTGGTCCACTCCTATAACATCCAGACATAAATTCAAATGAATTTAAACAACAAAACCAATGTTAAATGTGTTGCAAGGGCCTTATCTCCTATCCTATCTTACTGAAATTGAAATTAGTTGGTAAGAAAGAATTCTTATGACTCAACAATAAAAAAGAAATGAACAACCTAATGTGAACATGAGCAGGACCCAGTGATAAGGCCCAGCAGTAGAACACCTACCTGGCAGAAATAGAGCTGTGAGTTTGTTCCCCTGCATTGCCATGAAGCTCCCTAGCACCACAACCAATTGTGTTGTCTCTGACACACAACAGGATATCCTGCTTGTATTTTTATTGAAAGCAGGACAGATACAGGATAGTAAATTTCCAGTGAATGGTTTCTTTAAGCTTCCTGATGATTGACTCTACAGACCTGTGTGGGAGGACAATACGTCAGACAAGAGCTAGGCTGGGAATAGCATTATTGCTTATTGCTATGATTATGCGCTTCACACCAGAAAATGCAATTTTTTTTTTGAGAACAACCAGCCTTTCATCTCGAAGGATTTTCCCTCTTCCTCAGTCCTGTCCTAGTTTTGTGATCTTTATTCCAGACTCCTTAATCTGGTGCTAAAGGCTTTGGACAAATTTTTCTGGTCTGCTGTTCTGACTAAATACCACTTTTAGGCATGCAAATCTTGGTGTTAGGGCACCGACTTTCACAGATAATTCAGTGACAAAAAAACATTCCCCCGTTAAGTCTTTTAGAAAAATATTGTATCTGTGGAAAGATTTTTTTGAAAAGCGGAAACAATCTATAACATTCTTGTTTCAGATTTCATTGCCTCAATCAGACAACTTACAGAACAGAAGAAGAATGATTTTAGAAGCATCTAAAAACATTGTACTGTATAAAGATTATACAGTATATATATAAAGATTATTATATTATATATATTATTATATAAAGATTATTAAATAATTGTTTCAAATGAAACATACCAATCAGTGGAACATGTGACGAGTTGACAGGAGACTCCATTTCTATTCTCAAAAACATTTCCCATTCTGTTAATCTATTTTTAAAAATGCAAGAAGTAATCAACTGTAAAAGGTACATGAAAATTTCTCTATAACATTAATCATCAGGAAGATGCAAATTAAAGCAACAATGAGCTATCATCTGATGCCACAGAGACTGGCACACATCCAGTTGAACTGGAAGTAAATAAGCACTAACCACAGTCAGGCGTAACCCCCAAAGTTTTTGTAACACAGGCTATTTCTTAAAACACCCACTTAAAAATTAAATAGATCCTGGGGCTGGAGAGATAGCATAGTGGTTAGGGTGCTTGCCTTAGAAGCAACCAACCTGGGTTCAATCCCTGGCACCACATATAGCTCCCCGAGAGCCCCACTAGGAGTGATCTCTGAGTACACAGCCAGGAGAAAGCACTGACCACTACCAGGTGTGAGCCCAAACCCAAAAACAACAGCAACAACAACAACAACAAAATTTAATAGGTTCTAAATGACACAATATTGTTGCCTTGTTATTTAATACTAGAAAATTGGAGTAATTTCATGTGTATGCAATAATTTCTTTTCAGAATGTCTTTTGTTATTTATAGATAATTTTCTTATTTGCCATATTTGGATTAAAGTTTTTCATGTTGTTATTTGTTCTTTTCATTTCAATTTAGAAATTTACATGTGTATATTTTTCCTTTACATTAACTAGCATAGGAAACTATCCCTATAGCAGAAATGTGATATCCTATTCTGATTTGTTGAGGTTTTGTTCCCCTATGATTTATATTTTATTTGAAGCACCATTATTTACCATACAGTTAATGATGGGGTTTCATGCACACAACATTCCAATATCACACTCCACCAAAGTGTCCACTTCCCTCCACCACTGTCCCAGGGTTCCCTCCCTCCCTCACACCCTTCTATCCCTCCATACCACTCCCAACTAAGTTCAACTCAGTTGATTTGTGATTTTTATTCAATTGTATAATCATTTGATTGATTTGCTAGGATAATATGAGTTAAAATTATGATTTTTCTCTTCTGCTATAACTTTCATTACAATAAGTGAAATATTTATAAATAACAGAGACAATATCTGGTCTATTTATTTTGGCTTATTATCACTTTTCCAACTATTCTTGCTTTGTATAACCTATTTTATTATATAATTATAATTAGATTATAATATATAAAAAATTGTGTAATTAATATTATGTATATAATTAATGTATAATTATAGTGCATATGGGCTGGAGCGATAGCACAGTGGGGAGGGCATTTGCCTTGCACGCAGCCAACATGGCCAACCCGAGTTTGATTCCTCTGCCTCTCTTGGAGAGCCCAGCAAGCTACCAAGAGTATCTCGCCCACTCAGCAAAACCTGGCAAGCTACCCGTGACATATTCGATATGCCAAGCACAGTAACAACAAAGTCTCATGATGGAGACGTTACTGGGCCCGCTCGAGAAAATCGATGAACAACGGGAGGACAGTGACAGTGATATAGTGCATGTACTCTATTTGATTATATAATCTTTATATAATCTATTTCCTTGAGGTACTCATAGCTAATTTTTTAGGATAGTCTTAGGTAATCTCACCTGTTAATTCTTCCAAGTACATAGCTGACCATACATGCCCCAAAATGAGACTTTAAGAGAGTTAATGCTGGTTTCTGAATTCACAAACACCAACTGTGAACTGAACAGAATCACAAAGTCCAACAGCAGAGCTTGCTCTCAGCACTAAATCTTACAATTAGTCTCCTAGCACATTCAATTCAAGACTCTCTTGTGAGGCTGCAGAGATAGTACTGTGGGCTTGGTGCTTGCCTTGTACAAGGCAATTTGAATTCACACACATATGGTCCTCTGAGCACCACCAGGAATGATTCTTGAGCACACAGACAGGAGTAATCCCTGAGTACCATGGGCTGTGATACCAAAACTCCCCTGAATTACTCTCAGCAATGTTACATATTGATTTATGTCACGGATCTTCAAATTGTGTGCTCCAAATAGTTCAAATTATACATTTTAACTCTACAAAAAAAGGTTGCAAAACATACTCTTTACCTATCAAACCTCATCTTCTATACTATCAAATCAAATCAATGTTCACATATCTACATACTTTAATAGCTTATAAGCCTTCCAAAGTTGAAACACTGACCTCATCTTATCTCCAAGTCAGATATTTGACTTGAAGCCATGACCCAGATTCCTGGTAATTCCATAATTAAAATGCCTGTTGACTTGAGACATGCTCTTTGAATAAAACTTTGCCCAAATTTACAATCTAACAGAAGAAAAGTATGAAACTATTAAAACTCACCTCAAAAGCATCAGACAGCCAGTGTAAATCTGTAATCAGTTTCCTATGTCCATTTTCTATTGAGGAGACTGCACAGTTCTGGATATGTGTTGGTTTTGTATTACTTTCTGGTTCAAGAAGAAACATAGGCTGAAAAAAAATGAACATAAGATCTAACTTTAGAGAACTGATGAATAGATTTATACTCTCCTCAGTGTTGCAACTTAAAGTAATATCCAGTTAGAGGGAAAAGTATATGTTCATTTTTCTGTGGATCATACCTTTAAGCAATGGGTTGTCGATGGAACCAGGGCAGGTTCAGTGGCATAAAGTGCCTGACTTGCAAGCATGAGTCTGAAATTTCAGTATCTGATGCCACCCACATGCTCCAAACAAGGTCCAAACTTGGTCTGGGCCCCCTCACATAGAAACAGAGGGTACAAGCTCTGGCACAACACTGTCAGGACTGTGTAAGCATGGCAACTAAAGTGTGTCACCACCCATGAGCACTGCAACTAAAATTGTGTGAGCACCACGGCCAGGTGTGGAACCTGGAGTGAGCACATACACAAGTTCTAGAGCTAAAAGTAAGACCCCAGTGAGCACCATGCAGAGTGTGCAAGCAAGCCTGTGATCACCCATACTACAATAACGGCAACACTGACCACGAAGGGAGAAGATTATAATTTTCCCTCTTCTTTATAGTCTTCAATTTTTTTTATAAACTCAAGAATTATTGGCCCCTTGGCCTAATGAGATGCTGTTTTGGAGGAAGAGCATTTCTTAGTGTGCACAGAATTAAATTGTATGTTGTAAGATTTACCAATTTCACGGAAACTTTAAAATATATTAGCACAGAATTATCCATGCCAATTTTTAAAATGTACATACTTCTAAAAAAGGAATATATTTTTGAAAAGAATTTACTTTATTAACATCATTGATTTACAATGTTGTGAAATTTCAGGAGATTAGGTCTATTCATCTCTGTGTGTATGTGTCACCACCTCTGCCAAAGGAAAGAAAAAGAAAATAAAGAAAAGGAAAGACGTCTCTCATATGTGAGATTAAAAAAAGAAATACAGTACGGGAATAAATGGTCAAAGTCACCAGAACTGAAGACTTTTATCTATAGAACTGAGCTTACATGGAGGGGCCCAGGGTACAAGGTGGAGGGATACAGGTTCTTTGATGATGGGTGTGGTGCTGAGATGATGTCTGCATGAAAAGTATGATTAGCAGTACTGCAAATTCTGGGATCACTGTATCTCTGTCATCCCATTGTTCATCGATTTGCTTAAGCGGGCACCAGTAACGTCTCCATTCGTCCTACCCCTGAGATTTTAGCAGCCTCTCTTTACTCATCCTTCCCAATGGTGCCATATTGGAGGCTCTTTCAGGGTCAGGGGAATGAGCCCCATTATTGTTACTGTTTTTGGCATATCAAATATGCCATGGAAGCTTGCCAGGCTCTGCCGTGTGGGCAGGATACTCTTGGTAGCTTGCCAGGTTCTCTGAGAGAGGGAGAACTAGGCCGCGTGCTTCCAGGAGCTTTGTTTTATAGTCTCTGGATCTTGGCCATTGATGGGATTGCATGGGTCAGGGGCAGTTTGTGGGTGAGTGCCTAGCTATTGGAAAATGGGGGATTTGGGTGAAGGAGGTCCAATCCCAATCCGAGCAGGCTCCTCGGGATGTGGAGGGAAACTCAACCCACGCCCCTCCAAGGGGCCCCAGTGAAGAGAGCCAGCCTTGGGGGCAGGAGACTCTGCAAATTCTGGTACCTCAATAAAAATAGTGAGTAAAAATATTTTTTAAGGAAAAGAAAAGTAATACAAAACTAACCTTGAGGACAGCCTTTTTACCTCGATTACCACCCGTCTTAATGTTTTCTATGCGTTCTGCATGTGAAGTAATGTCCCATAGGACAATCTAAAATGAAAATAAATGTTATCACAATACAGTTTCAGAAAATAATGAGTTGGGTCTTCAGTAATGTATTGGTGTTTGTACATGGATGAACCAATTATCTTGGAGGAAAATCAGATTTAACAATGCATTAAATAAACCAGAAATTTTTAAATCTAATATAATTTGTACTTTGATTTGCTTGTGATAATAAGTGTCACTAGTTATAACAATCCAAGATAGATAGCCTGCAATTCTGTCTACTATGAGTGGAATTTTGGGGGAACATGCTATGATCATGAAGAGAGTTGCCTTGTATAAGGAGAAAAAGTCTTTACTTCAAAATAAAGGTCAAGTGTTTAATCATTCAAATAGACTGGAAAATGGCTTAACTTAATTGAACATGATCACCAACTCTTAAGTTTGCACATATACCTGGGTGGAATTTTTTGAAAAATCAAGATAAAAGACAATGTTCAATACTGAAGTAATTTCAAATATTAAAAGTCATAAAATGTACATAACAAAGCTGACAAAATATCAGCATTACAAGATTATAAATGAGTTGATTTCATCATTTGCTTTTTTCAAAGCTCACTTTCTCTTCCACATTGAGTGAAAAAGGCATTTCAGCATTGGCAGGGCTGGGAGGTTATCAGTATGGCCACCAGTTTATTGTTGAACACATCTCTGGAAGATCATTTGTTTTCCTGGTTGTTTTGCTTTCATACAGAGGAGGATGAGTGCTACCAACATCTCCATTTTAATTACAAGAGAGCTTTCTGCCCGCCCGAGAAAAAAAACCATATATGCCTATAATAGTCAAACCCAGTGGATCATAATAAATTTAAACTGATCCTAAATAGCTTTAAGAATTTTGCTTTGCATATTGAAGAAACAGACATTTATAGGATGGAAGAATTAAACCTAAATGATACACAAATTAAGAGGAAAACGTAAAATAAAAATGATTCAAATTATTGGGACATAAATCCCAAGGTATATAAGTATTTGCCAATGAACTTCTGTTTAAATTCTGGGTCCTCCCCTAACTCCCACCCCCCAGCAAAATTTCAGAACACACCATGACCAAGAGATATTAATGCTCCTGGGTTTTTATTTTCTATGAAGTCTCATACACTGTATGACTCTATTCCAGCACACAAATAGATATGATCTTGTTTTGTTCCAGTTATTAGAACTGGGTTATCCTGTGCACAACTTTAGACCCCCCATAACAAGCCTAACACACCTTTCTAGCCTAACACACCTTTCTATTTCAGTAGCACTGTAGCACTGTCCTCCCATTGTTCATCGATTTGCTCGAGCGGGCACGAGTAACGTCTCACAACAAATTGTGAGACTTGTTGTTACTGTTTTTGGCATATCCAATACGTCACAGGTATTTTGCCAGGCTCTGCCTTGCAGGTGAGATACTCTTGGTAGCTTGCTGGGATCTCTGAGAGGGGCTCAGGAATCGAACTCGGGTCGGCCATGTTGACTGTGTGCAAGGCAAACGCCCTACCCACTGTGCTGTCGCTCCAGCCCATATAAGCACTATTTCAGTAACCAGTGTAAAAATGGGCATGCCTTCCTTCTGCTGAGTTGAGTCTTTAAATTAAAAAACAAAAACAAGGGCTGGAGAGATAATATAGCAGGCAGGGCATTTGTCTTGCACACAGACCATCCAGATTCAATCCCCAGCATCCCATACGGTCCCTGGAGCACCACTAGGAGTAATTCCTGAATGTAGAGCTAGGAGTATCCCCTGAGCATCCTGGGTATGGCCCCAAAACTAAATAAACAACAAAGACAAACAAAAACTGGTCACAGAATGTTTCCTAATTAATAAATATCTAGGGAGCATAACATGAAGCCTGTCATAGCCATGCCACCGAACTCTGTGCCAGGCTGTTTCACTTGGGGCACCCCAGAGGGGGGCAGGTGAGAGCCCTCCTCGCCACAAGGGATCCAGCCCAGGCAGCCGAAAACCTCCAGATTCCAACCGCTGCCATGCTCAAGGCCGCTCACCATAGGCTTAGGCCGAGCCTCATGCACAACTGCAAGTATTCCTGGACACATCATAAGACACTCCCTACCCATTCTCCATAAGTACCACACCACATTTGATGGGGTTCAGATAATAGGCAACAAATCATAAAGGGAAATATATATATGCATGTATACATATTTTCATATTATATATATATATGAAAGCTCACATCACTCAACCTTTAACAACATGTTAGTGATATCCTAAAGAATGTCTTAATGGTCCCTGCTAAAATAGAACAATCTTCACAGTGTTTTCTATATGAACAATTTTTGTAAGCATTTTCAATGGTTCTTCATAACAGACAATTCAAAATATATTATTTTGATTGTGCTTTGGGACAGGGATCAATGCTTGGGATGGAAACATCCCAAATTTGGTGGTGGGATTGGTGTTTGAATATTAAATGTAGTCAAATATTGTGAACTACCTTATAAAATAAAGAAATTTAAAATAAATAAATATCTAGGAAATCTGTCAGTACCTGTCCATTTATGCAGCCTCCAGCAATGATATTTGGATCACTTGGACAGAAATCGAAGCAGAAGATATCCTCTGGGCTTTCCAGCATTAGCTGCAGTACACCCCACAAGCCAGACAATGAGAAAACTTATGAATATCATAGCTAGAAAAATATACTAGCACACACAAAAACATTTTTTTCTATATTTAAGAACTACTGTCAGCATTTAGCTCTTATGGACTCATTTCTCAGAATCCTACCTGCAGCTTGAAAGTTGCTTTTGCTCCTTTTCTGGATACTAGCCATGTATTCAGATATGAGAAGTTCAGGGGGTCAGCTCTGTGAGGGCAGTGCACTTGCCCATTTTGTTCCCTGCTATATATCTAGCGTGGCACCTAGTGAGCACTCAAAACTAATTTGTTGAATGAGAGAAAATGTAAGTCTTATCACTGACAATACTCAGAATTTCTAAACAATATAGAAGGCGAATAAACTCAAATACCCAAAGGACCTGGTCCTTAGAATTGCTGGAATGAATGGTAGGCTAAAATCCATTTATATGGCCACAATTCATGATTAAATAAAGTCCAAAGAAGACAGGAACTGAGTTAATACTATAGTGGGTAGGACATTTGCCTTGCGTATGGTCAACCCTGTTTTGATTCCACTTCCCACATGGTTTCCAGACCACTGCCAGGAATAATTTCTGAGTGTTGAGTCAGGATTAACCCCTGGAGCATCGCTGGGTGTGTCCCTCCAACAAAAAAAACCCAAATCAGAGTTTGCTGTTTATTTACTTTTAATTTAGGGGGAGAGGTCTTCCTAGTCAGTGCTCAAGAGTACTGCTAATGATTCTCTGCCAGCATGGAAGGTAGTTCATGTCAGGGTCAGGGGATGCTGTGATGCTCCAGCTTTGTGGTCCTGGAAGTAGCATCCCCTTGGTGCTCAGAATCTGTACCTGGCAATGCTTGAGGGGCACATGGTGATGGGAATCAAGCTTATCATGCTCCCTAACTGCTATGCTATCTCCTGGCTCAAGGGATTGCCTTTTAGAAGCAGTTTAACTATCCTCTCACAGTTTTCTTGTTTAAAGAACTCATTATTTGTTCAGCAACCATTTTCAATAAACTATGTGTAGGCTCTGATCTTGCATTGACTACCTGACAGCACATTCTGTTCTAAAGAAAGTCTTGTTTTATGAAGGGTTCTAGCACTTCAAAGTCACCAAGTCATTTGCGATTCAGTCTGCCAAAAAGTCATGTAAAAGCAGTATTTGGAAATCTTAGACTGTGTGTGGAAGATGCTCCTCCATTACCTGAGGATGTATGGGATCAGAGAAACTCCAGAAAAGGATCAGTGAAGGTTGCAGCAATAGTTTGCCAGATGAGTGAACTCTCTCCTCATAGGTCATTCGCACAGCCAAAGACACAGCTATGAGCCCTGATGGACACACAATGAGGATTTAAAATCAGTAGACTTCTTCCTAGATTCTGCTGTCCTATAACATCGCTGTTCATTTTAACCCTGAGGAAATCTGAGTAGAAATATTCTAGAAGAGACTATGGGTTTTTCTGGAGTTTTACTTGTTTAATATGTAGACAGCAGCTACCTGTAACTTTTCCAGCACTTGTAATGTGATGCCCAAATTGAGATATACTCTAAGTATAAAACAAATGTTAGACTTCAAGGATTTATAAAGAATTTCTTTATCAAGTTTTTTTTAAGTTTTTTAACTTAAAAAATTTCTTTTTAAAACTTATTTCCCAATAAATAGATGAGAGGGAAGGAGAAAAAAAGAATTGGTATCCCCCTTTGTTTAAACAGTTTCACCTCTACTCATCACTATCTTCAAGGGTTTGGTGGTGGTGTGTGGGGAGGGGGTTGGGAGGGTTCTCTCTTATGCAATGGCCAGAGGGCAGCGTGCAGAAGAAAAGGCAGCCTTGGTTTCTAACTGGCCCCAGACCCTCACGGAATTGCTCCTGGAGGGAACTGAGTCCATCATTCCCTTGCTGAACTTGATCCTTTCCTTGACACCTACAGGGCTGTGTGCCCTACAGAACTGGGACACCACAGGAGCAAGAGAAGGTGCTGGAAAGACTTGTCAAGTGCCTGACATCCAGCAGTCCTTAATGAAAGGGAACTCTCTGCAGTCTGCCTTGTGAAAGCAATGTCCCACTGAAATGCCACCCCGGAACACATCCTCCTCCGCCCTCCCTCCTGGAGTGCCTTAGTCGGACCGTAGATAACAGGATGCCAGGCGATGCAGGTGATCATTTTCTCCATTAGGTTGTGCAGGTCAGTGAAGGACTGGTACTCCTTCAGGTGGGTGTCAGTCTTGTCCCCAAAGGTGCCTTCCTCCTCCGCCAGACACCTCCAATCATCATAGAAGGTATTCATGATTTCATTTTGCTGCAGGGCTATTTCAACACTGTTTTGTTTAATAAAATAAAATAGAAAAGGCAATTATATACTGGTTTTCAGTATTTAACGGTATGGCTTATTTGATTTTATTTGGGTTTGGGAGCACCTGGGGGGTGCTCTGTGCTTGGGGAACTTACTGATGAGCACCTTGGCCCATGTACTATCTCTCTGGTCCTAGTGACATGTCTTTTAGTGGGTAACTGATGATTATTTCCAGGTGATAAGTGGCTTAAGAGAAAAAAATCACAGTGATATGCTGCTCAGAACATCTGAGAAATTGTCCTTTTAGCTGCCAGGGTATCCCACCTGTGCTACTTCAACTTTAGGATCTTCTTCCAGCCGCAGCCATGCTCTGCTCAGGTTGATGACAAGCCTGTCATCACTAGGACTCCAGCCAGCCAGCTTTGGCCCATAAAGGATTCCTCTAACTGGAGGAAGTGTGTGTGTGTGTGTGTGTGTGTGTGTGTGTGTGTGTGTGTGTGTGTGTGTGTGACCCTGTAGACCTGGATGAGATTTGGTCCTCTGTAGTTCTCTCTACCTAGATTCTCCCATCCTCAGCACTTGCTATATTTTCTTCAGTAAACAGCCACATTAAACTTGGTTTCATTTATTTCCTAAAAACTCTAAACTGACAGAAAGGCAACTTTCTTAGTGATATTCTGTACCAAGTGATCGCATACACTAAATACTAATATATAATTAAAATTCCTTTTATATGTAAATGTACATATGTACACTATACACATACAGACCACACACATTAACCAAAACATCAGATAGGAGATTTTCAAGGGAATATACGGAATTTAGAAATACAATGTGTATGTGTTGGTGGCTTTAGTTGTGCTGTGATAAAACATTTAATTTCATTACTACACCTCTTGCAATACACCAGAAATCACATACAATGAATAATTATTGTGCCAAAAATGCAAAATTGTTTATTTTGTTCAAGAGTGAGTCACACCCAGTAGTACTGAAGGTCTACTTCTGGTTCTGTGCTCAGGAATGACCCAAGGCAGTGTTAAAGGGATCATTTGTGATGCTGGGAATAGAACTAGATCAGCTGCTTGCAAGGCAGGCGCCTGATCTCCTGTATTTCTCTGACTTCTGACCCTATAATATTATTTCTTCAAGAAATATCTTGAAGCCCTAGGCATGTGTCTCAGAGGTACAGCTTTGCATGCATGAGGCCCTGAATTTAACCTTCCCTATACAGTCTTATGCCTTGCATGTGGTAGAGGCCCTAGGTTCCATCCCTGGCGCCTTTTCCCCCAGTTTTTTTGGTAGGGCATCTGCCTTGCTCGCGGTTGACCTGAGTTCAATTCCTCCGCCCCTCTCAAAGAGCCCGGCAAACTACCGAGTGGCTTTGCAAAGCCTAGCAAGCTACCCATGACGTATTCCATATGCCAAACGCAGTAACAAGTCTCACAATGGAGAGGTTACTGGGCCCACTCGAGCAAATCGATGAACAATGGGAGGACAGTGACAGTGACAGATACAGCCTTATACAGTGATCCAGGGGTGATCCCTGGAACCTCAACAAAGTGGGAGGCTCCTGTCATGGCAGAAACAACAGAAAACTTCAGAGGGCTTGGCTCATCCCTGTATCTAATCTAGGAATTTGAGCTTGACCACAGTCTTTCAAAAATGTTTTTACTTAGACATCATAAATTTACAAAGTTGTTGACAAATAGGGCTTCCAGAAAACAACTCCAAACCCACCACTAATGACTGCATTCCCCAACCAATGACTAGATTCCCCACCTCCCTGCAACCTGACTCCTCAACAAACACATTTTTATTGGAATTATTGGAATTATTGTAGTTTCGGTCCCATGTTTTCAACAGTGTTGGGTCTAGTGGTTTAGATATGTGCATTCTGTGCTCAGGAATGACCCAAGGCAGTGTTAAAGGGATCATTTGTGATGCTGGGAATAGAACTAGATCAGCTGCTTGCAAGGCAGGTGCCTGATCTCCTGTATTTCTCTGACTTCTGACCCTATAATATTATTATACCACACATGAGCCCAAGGCCCTGTCCCTTGCCCTTATATTCATTCCAAACCTCTTCTTGCCCTCAACCCTTTTCCATCTCTCTTCTTTCCTGATATTTTCGTTTTTCAAAATCTAGAGTCAGAGGTTTCCCACTTTTGCTACCTTCTATTTACTAGACTTGTGATTCTATAAATCACAAATGAGTGAGAATATTCAGTATTGTCCTTTGATGAGTCTCATTTTGGAAGTTACTCTAAGTGGAACTGGACAGATAGTTCAGAGGGCTGGATCCCATGGCTTGCATGTACAAGGCTGAGGTTGATTCCTGGCACTGTATGGCTTTCGAAGTACAACAGGCCGTATGCCCAGTGGACCCCAAGCATTAAAGAGAATATCTCTTCACCTCCTGGGGGAAATTTTACTGTAAGCCAATATAATGTTTACTATCCCTATATATGCTTGGGGTTTAACACTCAGGAATTTTTTTACAATTAGGAAAATAACTCCCAGGGTTTTACCTTGAGGTCTGAAAGTTGAATTCTTGTTAGGTATTTTAAGCTAAAAGAGTATTCATCAATTATTAATTTCCTAAAAGAATAAAATATCATTTATTTATTTATTTATTTGCTTTTTGAGTCACATCCAACCAGTGATGCTCATGGGTTACTCCTGGGTCTGAACTCAGGAATTACTCCTAGCAGTGCATAGGGGACCATATGGGATACTGGGGATTGAACCTGGGTCAGGGGTATGCAAGGGAAACTCCCTACCCGCTGTACTATCACTCCCACCCCAAAATATTCTTTATTTAATCAAATATATCTATACTATTATAAGATACTCCTAAAATTAAATGAAATAAAGGATAATAAATTAATTTTTAAAAAATATTATATTTTTAAAATGGTATTCAATTAAGGGGCCAAAAGATAGCTCTGACTTAAAGCACTTGCGCAGCAAACAGAAGGCCATGAATTCAAACCCCAGTGCTACCACATGTTCTCAGGCTATCCTGACAGTCTCACGGTCTGGGAACTGTGGCAAAGGGAAGAGGGAAGGAAGAACTATTAATACCTCTGTCTACAAGTAACAACACTAGATACATTACTTAACTGGACATTCTTTTGGTTAAATTCTTTTTGCAGGTCATCTTTTAAAGGAGAGCATTTCTTAAGCACTCTACTTAAGTATTGCTAGTTCAAATGTAATATCCGGAGCAGTAGCATTAGCATGGCCGAGAGCTGTTGGAAATGCAGAGACACAGGCTCCATCCCATCTCTGCTGGGTCCAAGATCATATTTTCAAAAACTTCCCAGCTTTTTCATCTACATATGGTAGCTTGAACTAATTAATACAGGATTTTTTGTTGTATATACACTACTTATACAGAATAGGGTATGCTTCAAGACTGAAGTTTGTTTCAAGTCTAGAAGTATTTTCAAAATTCTTTCAGTTTCAGTCTGAATGGAAAATGAATTTCCAAGAGAGAAGTTCAGTGCTTGAGGCTACCCTCTCTGCCAGACATGGGAGGGGATTTACCAGAGAGAAATGAAATGAAGACTTTTCTCTGATTTTTTCTTTCTGGATTTCCCTGTACTCTACCAAATAGTTTTTGAGAAGGAGGAGCTGGAGGCCATCAAAATGGGTGTCTGAGCTAAAGCCCACTATATAATTTTGGGTTTTTTTAGCTAATTTTTACCTTGTGACCACATTGCCAAGGAAATCAGCCAAATGTTTTGATTTTCCCAGTTCCTCTTTTTCTTCTTCTGAAAATTCTCTTGCATAGTATTGGGTAGCGGCATTTTGTGGATAAGTCCTAATAATACATTTGAAGAAAGACGAGCCAGAAATTAGTTCAAAGACATATACAAGTTGTCACAGGCCAAATGGTTGTGTGACAATATTAGGAAACAAAAGAGACATTAGATTAGGTTAGAGAGGCTGATATGGTTGGGTTTGGATTGTTTGTTTTAATGATGGGAGTTACTGAATCTTGTAGTGACATCTTTTCCCACCCTCCCTGTTTTCTTTCTACTTACTGTCACTACCTCATTTTTGACACTGGTCATAGTTTACCTGGTTTAATGGCAGCATATTTTCACTTTGTTCTTCACTACAACTCTGGGTTTTTCTTTTTCTCTACTCTGATATGTATTGTATGCCTCATTTTATTTAATTACCTTAACTTCCTGCCTCTCTGGCTTCAGAACTTGCCCAAACTCCACAATGTTCTCAACTATTCATCCCAGTTTCTTGAACCGCTTCATATTTTAACAAACATAGTTTCCCCTTTTCAATGTCTCAAATCCATATACATATCCAACATTCATGGTCTGCTTTATGTAAATATAAAATTACTTCAAAATAAAATTTTCTTATAAATAAAAAAAGAATGCCTCAGTTAAAAACATCTACCTTTTACAACACTCAAAGTCTAGTCCAAATGCCTAATGCGTACTCTTGAAAATCCATTTCACACAGATACATTTACTGAATGAAGTTCAGTTAAGAGATTGTTGTGTGGAAGTGATAGGGTATGTACCTGCAAAGTGCTCTGAATCTAAGGCAGACAGCAAACAGATGAGGACAACATGAGCCATTGTTGCTACCATCAAAAATAACTCCAAAATCTTATTAGAGAGGAAATACCTGATTTGACCTTGTGTTTCTAGGAGATTACAGACTTGGGGCTACTGAGCTGGACTTGCAGAATGAAGACAGTTCCCCCAAAAGGCAGTGAAGTTCATTTCGTGTAGAAGAGTCTCATAGGCAGGAGCAGAAAAATGCCAGAGAATGGGGATTCTTGGAACTGGAAGCATCTCATAAGGCCAGAAGATACAACTTGTTTGGAAGCAAGAAGATTAAGGCTAGAAAGGCAGACATATGCCATACTAAGAACTCTAAATGTGACAGGAAACCAAAGACAAGGTATAGGGAGTGAAGTGATATAAAATGACTGGCTGTAAAAGAAAAATCACTTAGGTGGGTTTTTTTGAGGCCATCACTGTCTTTATCAACAACTTCTCTCCTTTTCCTACTTTATACACATTTTACTACCAATATTCTAAACATCGTTGTTGAGTGCTCTAAATATTCCTAAATTGAATTACTTTGTGGAAACCAACATTATCTTTGTCAACCCATCTCTACTTCTTATAAAAATTCCTCAAAATAATCATGATCTTTGCTCAAGCTGACTTACCATTTTGTCTGAGTACTTGTGTCCTTGATTTTAGGAACTACTTGCATGCCAACATCTTTCTCAAATATCTTAACGGTAAAATTTTTATCTGGGTAAGATGTACATTCGATGTAACCGTCCTTTACACTGGAAGCATTATGGTCTTTGAATTGAACTGGTGCACCAAAATCATAGCGTTTTCGAGAAATCATGTATGCAATCTGCAACACAGGTTAGCAATAAGGGTTCATGTGATTACACCTCTGGAGAATCAAAGTGGATTGGTGGTGGATAGTGGCAGTGTCCTGCACACATCCTCATAGCTATTTGCATACTGGCCACTGAGCCTCTAGTGATGCGTGTGTTCTGTGCCCAGAGCCACCATATCCTGTGCTTACATGCAAGATGCTCTTGGTCTAAGGCAGAAGTCCCAGAACCACTCTGCCCCACGGAACAAAGACCAGAACGTGTCTGACAGTTCCTATCTTGTCCATGTGGGGCCAATGGAAGACATACAGAATCTTATTTCCTAGGCTCATTTGAAATCACTTTGAGATGTGATTTACACTCCAAAATTCTGCAGACATTCCCAGTCACGTTTGCCCAAAAATGAAAGAATGAAAATTTTCATAAAAATGAAAAAAATCACTCAGAACCCTTTGGAAATCCACCTTCCTAATCAGGCAAACAAAACATGCTCTTTAGTAGCACCTGAAACTATCACCTCCTCAGCCTCACAGCGACGCTTTGGGAAACCTCGTCCTGAGTGTTTAAGATGAAGCTGCTTCTCTCTGGCATTTGCCTGAGATTGTACTCTTCTGGGGCTCTGCTATGTATGTCCTTGTTCTGCCACTTTTCCTATCACCATATGGGACATTTTCATAACAATAAATGGCTTGTTCACAAATCCTCCTCTGGGGCCTACATTGGGGCCACCACTATGTTGTTTCCTAGGACTGCTGTAACTAAACTTTGAGGACTCAGAGGGTTGAAAAAAATGAAGAAACTGGCTTGTGAAAGTAGTTCAAAGGGCTGAAGCACATGTCCTGCAGAAGCGAGGCCCCAAGTTCTTTCCTAGCACCACCCGGGTCCTGCCCCAAGAAGGTAAAGCTACGGTGACCACAAAACATGCTGGGGTGAGCACCAGCCAACAAGACAAATATCTCTGGCTGGACCCAACATCAACAGGGGTGACCTTGGGGTCGCTGAGGAGCATCTCCACTACCACATAGCGAAAACTAAAAGTAAATAAAGCAACAGGAATGTACTGTATTACAGTTGTGGAGTCTAGAAGTGTGAGGCCAGGGTATTGGAAGGCTGGTTCCTACAGCAGGACCTGAGGGAATCTGAGTTCGAGCCTCTCTGCTATCCTTTGTGTCCTTCAGCAGTTAGCTATAGCATACTGCTCTCTGCTTCCTTCTTCCCATGATATTCTTGCTGAGTCTTTATATGGCTGTGTTTTTTTAGGATCTCCATCATATCAGATTAGGGGTCCCGTTCTCCTTCAGATCATATGACCTCATTTTATCTGATTATATATGCAATGACCCTACTTCCTATATTGAGTCACATTCTGCAATACTCTAGGGTTAGCCCTTCAATGTACACCCTTTTTTTTTTTTAAAAAAAAAAAGAGGGATTGTAATTCAACCAGTCCTATCCACTTGGGCTGGATCGATAGCACAGCAGGTTGGGTGTTTGCCTTGTATGGGGCCAACCCTGGTTCAATTACTCTATCCCTCTCAGAGAGCCTGACAAGCTATGGAGAGTATGCCACCTGCATGGCAGATCCTGGCAAGCTCCCTGTGACATATCGATATGCCCAATATGCCAAAAACAGTAACAATCTCACAATGGATACATTACTGGTGCCCACTCGAGCAAATCAATGAACAATGGGAGGACAGTGCTATAAGACAGTGCTATAAGACTATCCACTTAAAGTAGCAAACATCACTCTGTAAAAGAAAAACCTCCAATGTCACAATACTGACATCTCACGAGGAGCACTCAATTAGACAGGGAAGGAGCATAGAAGCCAATAAGCTCAGTAAACAAAAATGTTAACACAGAAAGCTCAAAGAGCAAGAAACAACTTGGTAAACCCTCAGAAAAGGACTATAGTTTAGAGGTAAACTATAACAATTTTCACAAATTTTCTTTGACTTAGGTATTTTTGATAATTTTTGACAATTCCATTAGCCATTTAGTTGTAACAAGCAATATAAAATAAAATGTTGGGTGCCTGCTAAGGGGCCAGAGCTTGGGCATAGTTGAGGAAAATGGAGACAGTGGTGGAGGGAGGGTCATTCTGATGGTGGAATTGATGTTGGAACATTGAATGCCTGTAATAATTGTATTTTTAACAACTTTGTAAACCACAGTGTTTAACAGGAAAAAAAATAAGGAAAACCATATCAAACAGAGCCGACCTCACTGATCTCTCAGGACTAAGTAATGTGCAGTGATAGGGAAGGGATGAAAAGAAATTACATACAAGAAATTACATCTAACCTGTTTTGTAGATTCCTTAACGGATTCTTCCTCAATTTCTTTTTCACTGCCCAGTGAAACCCACGGTTTAGAGACAGGTGGATAATAAATAAATGCTTCATCAGGAAAAATTTTACTTTCGTTCTGTTCTTCTAGTGCCTCCAGGGACTACAGTAAAATAAATAGGATTAACACACACACACACACACACACACACATATATATCCAAACTTAGGTTATAGCTACTTACATATATTTTGCAATAAACATTACTTTTTGTTTTGTTTTTGAGTTACACCCAATGATGCTCAGACATCCTGGATCTACACTCAGATATTACTCCAGCCAGGCTTGGGGGACCACCTAGGATGCTGGGGATCAACCCAGGTTGGGTGCATGCATGCAAGAGCCTTAGCTTTTGTACTATTGCTCTGGACCAAATAAACTTTAATTTTATATTGATAAATTGACTTCATTATTATTTTTCTTCTTCCTTGGTGCATGCTTTTTAATTATGAGAAAGAAGCCAAGCAAAAAAGAAAGGTTATAGATGAAAAAAGAAAGCTATCGAGGAGATAAGAGAAGATGAAGAATAAAAGTCAAAAATTAAGTTATGTGAGAAGAAAAAAGCATTTATTGCATAGATTTATTAATAAGATGTGTTAAATTTTGATGAAACAAAACTAGTTTTATTTTATTTAATCAGTTTATTTAATTCTTTGGTAAAATAATTACAAATATGAATCTAAGATACTCATTAAATAATCAATGAAACTTTTAAAAGCTATAGGGTCTATCATGATAAGTGAAATGAGTCAGAAAGAGAGGAACAGACATAGAATGACTGCACTCATTTGTGGAATATAAAATGTCATAATATGAGACTAACACTCAAGGACAGTAGAGACAAGGGCCAGGAAGATTGCTTTTTGGTTAGAAGCCTATCTTATGAGCTGGGGGAGATGGCAACTGGGATAGAGAAGGGATCACTAAGTCAATGACAGTTGGAGGGATCTTTCGGGATGGGATGATGTGTGCTGAAAGTAGATAAAGAACAAAACATGATGGCCTCTCATTATCTGTATTGCAAACCATAATACCCATAAGTAGAGAGAGAAAGAGGGAAATTGCCAGAGAGGCAGAGGGAGGGGTGGAATGGGGGGTAGATATTGGGGTTACTGGTGGTGGGAAACGTCCACTGGTGGAGGGATGAGTATTTGATCATTGTATGACTGAAACTCAAACATGATAGTTTTGTAATCGCAGCTCCTGATGATTCAATAAAAAATAAAATATAAGCTATAGGGTCTGTAGGGGCATGTGTGTGTGTGTGTGTGTGTGTGTGTGTGTGTGCGTGCGCGCGCGTGCACACACACACGCACACACCAGTTTATTCATAAAAAGGAAAAAACTGGGCAATTGGATAACAAAGTAAATATTAATTAGCTCAACATTAAGTTTTCCTTAAATATATCCTGTGATTAAAAGCAGAATTTGAAATGGATGTCTTGATAAGTAGGTATTTAAGTGGAAGAAAGTGTCAAAGATAGCAGGAAACAAAAGAATAGATGTTTCTAAGGGCAGGAAATCTGTTCATCGTTGGAGTGTTTCATTTAAATGATCTTGAAAGGTAACAGATTTCTGAGAGGCATTTTCTGAGGGGAATCCTTGTATGTGTATTTGTTCAAATTGGGAGACAGGAAGTTTTTCCAGTCAGCAAGAAAAAAAAGAGAAGCCATAGAATTTTCAAATATCTACCACATTAAAAATAATTAAAAGAGGGCAGGAGTGATAGCACAGCAGATTTGCCCTGCAGGCGGCCAACCTGGGTTTGATCCCCAGCATCCCATATGGTCCCCCAAGCACTGCCAGGAGTAATTACTGAGTGTAGAGCCAGGAGTAACCCCTGAGTATCACCGGGAGTGACCCAAAAAGCAAAATAATAATAATAATAATAATAATGATAATTAAAAGTCTTTTACTTACCTTTGACATATTTTCAGTTTTATTTTTATGGTTGCCTTTCTCTGTTTTAAATTTTTTACTATAGTGAAATAGTTGAAATGCACGGGAAAGTAGAGATATTTAACAATTAAAAAAGGGCTTCACCAGTATTAATTGGTTTAATCTTCTCAACAGTCCCCTGGAAATTGGCTCTATTAGGTGCAAGTGTCCTGAGGATGAGAGGTTCAGAAACCAGCCTAACATCACAGTAATGGGAGGAGACCAGGCGTATGGCCAAGAACTGTTGCCCAAGTTTGCTTTCTCCTTTTATAGGGTGAACAAAGGACAAATAGGCAGCATGTGTGCTACTCTGCAGTATTTGGTTCATCCCTCACTTACTGATCACCTATGTTAGGTGCCAGAACCTGATTGAGGTCCCTCGAAAACACAACTGAGCAAAAATAACTGCATGTATGTACATACTTCTCCCTCAGAGGTATCATTTCCTTCTGACAATCAGCAAGCTACAAGGGTTTAGGGCGTGCTTACATTTAAATAGAGTTCCTTGCCCTCTTCTGTTCCAATAAGATAAAAGTTAAGTCCGTATTTAAATTCTTTGTCATAAACAACAATAATCTCATCTCCAGGATATTCCTACAGAAATATAATCAGAGAAGATCAATAGTCCATGGTTAATTCATTCAGACACATATACCAAATGGATATCCCCACTAATCAATCGATCTTAAAAGGTAAGCAAAGTAATAATCTGTCACTAATACTTTCAAAATCAAAAATATTTTATTCTTTAAAAAATTTAAAACGCATAAACACGATGTGCCTAGGAAAGTATTTCATGCAATCTTATTCTAACAGGAAAAACAGAGAAAAACATTTTTAAAATTCAGTCATGTAACATGTTTGGAACCAAATCAGGACCAAAATTATTAATCAAATGCTATAAAGTGGGACTAGGAACACAAAAAGGCCAGAGAGAGAGAACAGCAGCAGGCAGGGTACTTAGCTTACATGTGACTAATCCGGGTTCCATCCCTGGTACCCCATGTGATCCCCCAACCCCCCCCCCAAGAGTGATCCAGGAGTAATCCCTGAGCACTGTTGAGTGTGGCCCAAAAAGAAAAGGAATGGGGTGGGGAGGGGGGGAACGACACAGAAATAGATTCCTACTCTAGATAAAATTGGCCAGAGTTACTAAGTATAAAATTAGTCACTGATAATTTGTTCTCCTAGAGAATCATCAGGCTGATTTCAGAGGAGGCATGAAGAAACTTAGTTACAAAAATTAATGAAGATTTGTTTGCTTGATGAGATTTGTTTGCTTGATGAGGGCACTCCTAGCAGTGCTCAAGGGTTATTCCTGCCTCAGTCTTGAGCATTGCTTTCAGTAGTGCTCAAAGTAGCATGTGACACCACATATTAAATTCGAGCCACCAGCTTGAAAAGCATGCATTATAAACTACTGGGCTACTTCCCTAGACAGAATGTTAGATTTGAATACATTTGTTAATTATACGTGAGAAACCTCTAGAGATAGGAATGAACTATAGAGAGCAACGCTGTATTGACCTGAATGACTTTTTTTAATGGATAGAAATCAGATACTGCAGCTCTGTTTATGAAGTCTGAAAAAATGGCTTCTTTTTTGATAAGTTTATAAGGTTTTTCGTCTGTGACATCTTCATCTATTCGAAGGCCGAATATATCTTGAGTCTTGGTAGTTAACACTAAAGGATAAATATGTGGGTAATCTGTGAAAGACAGGGTAAAATTTGGATATTTAAATTATTAACAATAGGAAACATAAAATGTTTTCCTTAATATTGCCTTGGTTAAGCCTTTAAAAGACTTCTAAAATAACTGTTCTTCATAAAGTAACAAAATAGGAGAATAACACCCAAGAATAGCTGAGATAAGTACCAGGAGGTTTACTCCAGGGCTTAAAGGCCAGCCGCACACGCTAGGGGTAAAGGCAGCTCAGATAGAGAAGGGAGCACCAAATAAAGGGTGTTGGGAGGATCCTAGGATGGGAGATGCATGCTGAAAGTAGACTATAGACCGAACATGATTGCCACTCAATTCCTCTTTTGCAAACCAAGCACCCAAAAGGAGAGAGAGAACAAAAGGGAATACCCAGCCACAGATGCAGGGTGGGATGGGGGGTTGGGGGGTGGGAGGGACACTGGGATTAGTGGTGGTTGAGAATGGGCACTGTTGGAAGGATGGGTACTCAATCACAGCGGTAGGGTGTTTGCCTTGCACGCAGCCAACATGGCCGGCCCAAATTCGATTCCTCTGCGCCTCTGGGAGAGCCCGGCAAGCTACCGAGAGTATCTCGCCCGCACAGCAGAGCCTGGCAAGCTACCCATGATGTATTCGATATGCCAAACACAGTAACAACAAAGTCTTCAATGGAGATGTTACTGGGCCCGCTCGAACTCAATCATTGTATAATTGAAACCCAAGCACAAAAATTTGTAACTCTACAACTGTACCTCATGGTGTTTCACTAATAAAAATTAAAAAAAAATAAAATGACTCCTTATTTTTAAATTAAGTATATCCATTTTTTGTAAATGTTGGGAGATGGGATTGTGGTTCAGTGGTAAGGTGCATGCCTTGCATGCATAAGAAAGAAAGAAAGAAAGAAAGAAAGAAAGAAAGAAAGAAAGAGAGAGAAAGGTAAGAGAGAAAGAGAAAGAAAAAAGATAAAATACAGAGGAAAAGGGAAAAGAATAAGTAAAGAAAGTAAAAGAAAACGAAATAAAGTGGGAAAGAGAAAAAGAAAAATCAGAAAGGTTAAATGTGAAAAAATAATGATCACTCATAATGTGGCATTTCAAGAAAAAAAGCTTTCTCTTAGTACTTTTCTCTGTTTCTTCCTAGTCACTCAATGTTTGTGATATACATTATATATAACATATACTGTACAGTATAGGGGCTTCCCCAGTATTGCTTAGGGTGGGCTATTCTGGCTCGATGGTGCTTGAGCCCCACAGTGCGGTGCTGCTGACAGCTTGAGGTGCAAGAACTGCTTGGGCAAAACCCAGTGACGCTGAGGCAGCATTGGGGGCTGACCCCAGGACCATGAGCATGACCTCAGTAAGCTCTATCTCAGAAGGCATTTCAATCCTGTCTTTCATGCTTACTATAACACAGCTGCTCTGCTACTGTCACTGTCCTGTCACTGTCCTCCCTTGTTCATCGATTTGCTCGAACGGGCCCAGTAATGTCTCCATTTTGAGACTTTTGTTACTGTGTTTGGCATATTAAATACACCATGGGTAGCTTGCCAGGCTTTGCCGTGTGGGCGAGATTCTCTCGGCAGCTTGCCGGGCTCTCCGAGAAGGGCGGAGGAATCGAACCCGGCTCGGGCGGGCTGGTTGCGCGCAAGGCAAATGCCCTACCGCTGTGCTACTATATAATTTTTATATTATTTTATATTAATGTAATTATATCATCATTTAGTAATACTGTGGGAAACATTACATTTCCTCCTCATTTCTTTCCAAGACCTCACCAACTAGCTTCCCTTCTGCTTTGTCTACTTCTCTATTCTTTTTCTCTAGGCTATTGATAGGATACTGCTTCTCTCTCGGGCTCTTTTTCTTTGTAGTCAACCTGTTACCTAGCTTTCCATCCATCCCCTTTTAAAAAGTTTAATGATTACAGTTTAAGTCACATTTTAAAATAGTGGTGTTTGTTTTTTGTATACTTGGTTCCCACAGCTAGTCCCCCTTTTCAACCATTGAGAGTAGAGACAGTGGATTAGGGGGATCCCCTTTCCTTGTTCTGGTCCCTAGTTCCAGGGTGACTTTGCAAGGAGAGGCAGACAAGGTTCTTTTTCCTCCTGTCCCTTTATCCCCCGTCACACCAATCCTTGCAGCAGTAAGCCCTGGGGCAGAGGAGAGACAATTTCTGGTTCATGTCAGGTCCTTTTCCAAGCCCTCTTTTAATTTTCTTATCTTGATTTTCAGTCAGACTCTATCACTCCAGTTTCAGTTCTGTAGTACCCCAGGCCCACACTCCACTATCCGTGCTCCCTGAGTCTAGAGTCCTCTCTCTTTTTCTCCACACCCTACACACCTGCCTGTCTGCCATCCTCCTGTCTATGGCGCCAACGAGCCCTCAGGGAGGGCAGGATTGTGTGTGTTCTCAAGCTGGGATTCTCAACAGATTCATTTAATAGAAATATTTATCCCTACTGACTCTCTGGTACAATTATTCAGACAGTTTGTGAAAGATTGTTGATTAAGTATGTAACAGTGATTATATATGGGGAAATATTTCTAATTGAAATCAATTGCTATCATAAACAAACATGTAGAATAGATGTAAATTTTCCTGAACTGGGGACAAAAATACATACGCTGAATCACCTGAAAAATTCTCACCCTAAAACCTAGCACATGTGCGATGCTCAACAGGTAACTGCTGACTTGATTCACACATAAAGAATCCTTCCAAAATGCATGACGAGGGTCCTTATGCACCATTATTTGCATAGTTTCACTGCATAGTTATTCATTTTTGCCTTTGAAAACCACTAGGCGGTGCTATGAGACTCCTATTGAACTAGTGCCAGAGGAGGGACTGCTTTCCTAAATTAAGGCAGGCAGAAAGGACTGGAAATTTCTATCATTTAAGAAATTAAAAAGTGATAATAATTGTCTTCTCCATAACCTGCTCCCACAAAGTCCCTTCAGGCTGGATCTGTTTTATAAAATAATCTTTCCACAATCATTTGATTTCAAGGTAACTAAAATATAGTATCTAAGATTTCTCTAGAAAGAAGTTAGTAAAACTGGTGGACCATTTCTAGCTAGGACTGGCAATCAGGAACAACTGCAAGCAAGAGGTAGCCACTAGACCATACAAGACTCCAACAGTCTATTCATATCTGCTCTGAAAAATAACCAACTTAAACTGACCAAGGTCTGATACTTCCTGTGAACCCACAGCACCTCAGGTTAAACTCAATAGAAAAATTTCTGTTATCAAGACCCTGAAAACAACAATGAGACTAAGATGACTGGCAGTGAAGAGGGCTGTGGGCTTAAGTGTTCCTGCAGCAGAGTGGATAAGAATGATGCTGGAGCATCCTGAAACTTAAGAGGCCAGAAGTGCATTCCATGAGCATTTGAGTAGGGTTCTGGGAAGCCACTAGTGGGGATTGTGAGGAACACCGGTCAGTGACAGTGACTGCCAATGGTGGAATGATGGACTCCTTTACTGCACTGCACACAAGTGTCTTAGGTGGATTTTCACTTACTCTTCACAACAACACCCTGAGGTCATTACTATCATTGTCTCCAGTTTTTAACTAAGGACCCAAGACCCACTAAGTTTATGTAAAGTGTTCAAAGTCAGCTGGTGGGAGTTGGCCTGGGAGTTTTAATTTTTGCCAAATTAAACTTGAAACAGAGAGGTTTTTAAACATACTTTTAAAATTTTATTATCAGTAAATGTTTGATTTATATGCCTTTTTTATTTACCCGGATCAAATAAAAAATAACAGGTGAAAGTGTGGTACAACATAATAGCCAGAAGCTGGAAACAACCCGAGTACCAGAGAATAGTGCCTAAGAAAGTTAAAGAAACTCTGGTACATCTACACAATGAAATACTATGCAGCTGTTAGGAAAGATGAAATCAGGAAATTTGCTAATAAGCAGATGATCATGGAGAGTGAAATAAGTCAGAAAGAGAGGGACAGACATAGAATGACTGCATCCATTTGTGGAATATAAAATAACATAATATGAAACTGACACCCAAAAACAGTAAAAACAAGGGCCAAGAATATCGCTCCATAGTTGGTAGCCTGCCTCATGAGCTGGGGGATAAGGCAACTGGAATAGAGAAGGGATCACTAAGTTAATGATGGTTGGAGGGATTGTTTGGGATGGGAGATGTGTGCTGAAAGTAGATAAAGAACAAAGTGTGATAGCCTCTCAGTATCTGTATTGCAAACCATATACCCCAAAGTAGAGAGAGTATGGGGAAAATTGTCTGCCATAGAGGAGGGAGAGTGTTGGGTTGGGGGGATACTGGGGACACTGGTGGTTGAAAATATGCACTGGTGGAGGGATGGGTGTTCGATCATTGTATGACTGAAACTCAAGCATGAAAGCTTTGTAACTGTATCTCACAGTGATTCAATGAGAGAGAGAGAAAGAAAGAAAGAAAGAAAGAAAGAAAGAAAGAAAGAAAGAGAGAGAGAGAAAGAAAGAAAAGAAAGAAAGAAAGAAAGAAAGAAAGAAAGAAAGAAAGAAAGAAAGAAAGAAAGAAAGAAAAAGTGTGGAACAAGTGTAAGAAGCCCTTCTCTAAAACACAGTCAACTTTTGGTGCTGGAGGAGTGTACAAAGAGTAGATGCTTGCCCTGCACACAGTAACTCAGATTCGATGCCCAGCACCTCATATGGTCCCCCAAGACTGCCAGGAGTGACCCCTGTGAGCACTGAGCTAGGAATAAGCCCTGAGCACATCAAGGTATGCCCACCTCTTTAAACAAAACAAACAAGACCCCCACAAAATCCAAAACATAACTCAACTCTAGTATACTATCATTCTCTAATTACCATCAATAGCACCCATCCTATGTGATTAAAAGCCCAAATCTTTACAAAACCCTCCTCAACTCTTAGATCTCCTTCCTCCCCAGCTTTTTCTATTTCTAAGCATGAAACAGATGCTCTATGTGAACTCTAAAAGGAAAGTTTCAGCACAACAAGAAAGTCCTCTTGGTAGATTATTTTTTGTTTAAAAGTGGTAACTGATAGCACAGTGGGTAGGGCGTTTGCCTTGCACGCAGCCGACCTGGGTTCGATCCCCGGCATCCCATATGGTACCCCAAGCACCGCCAGGAGTAATTCCTGAGTGCAGAGCCAGGAATAACCCCTGAGCATCGCTGGGTGTGACCCAAAAAGCAAAATAAATAAATAAATAAAATAAAAATAAAAGTGGTAACAAAAATAGTTGGGTTGTTTAAGTTCTACTTAGAAATAGCGAATTTTACCATGAGGTGCAAATAAATGTGACCAGTAAATTAGAATTTGAAAAATACTATTCTTAGAAAAGTTAATAACACTTGCTGGGCATATGCCTTATTACTTGGGCTTTCTCCCTGGCAGCAAGGATGAACTTCTGAAATTTGTAAAAATTCTTTCTTAGAATTTTAAATTTTATACTCTACATGATATAGTGTAATTTTAACCTAGGTACATTTTGATCAATCATTTCAATACACTGTATTCCCATTTGCTCATTGCATAATATGGGGACATAAATTCTGAATTGTCTTTTCACTCACCTGCAACTGCCAGATTTTCAGGTTCTTCATCTTCTCTAACTAGGATAGAATAAAGTTATGTCAAATTTATATTTTTGAATCAGGTAAGTTATTTTCTTAATATCTTTTACAAAACTTTAAATATAAAACATAAATGTAAATATATGAAAGCAAGCCATTCTAGAATAATAAAACTAAAGAAACTACCCTTTGTGCAGAATACTTTCTAAGTTATCTTGCTATGTCAGTTAGTAGTTATTGCAATGAATTTTTTAAATGAATATCCTTACCTTTACACTCTGTAAAAAATACACACAAGATGCATAAATCATGATCATCTGGACTGCTGATATCCCTAGCCCTATAAATTCATTTCAAGGTCTGGAGAGATAGTACAGTGGGTAGGGTGCTTCTCTTGCATGCAGCCAACCCAGGATTGATCCCCAGCATCCCATATGGTCCCCTAAGCACCACCAGGAGTAATTCCTGAGTGCAGAGTCAAGTGTAACCCCCAAGCATTGCCAAGTGTGGGCCCCAACCAAACAAATTTATTTCATGGAAAAACCTACCAGATAATGATTTTTTAGTTTTGACTGGTTTGCCCTTTTTTTTTGTTGCGGGCTTGGGTTTTTGACCTTTAGGAGCCATGGTTCTAATTTAAGCTGCAGGAAGAAAGAAATTTAAATTAGTAAATTCTGGTTGGTCTACAATTGACCTGTCAACACTAAGCATGACAGAGGATCCTGGTAGATCTCTGTCCCCTACAACTCTACGCCTGTATGTGTAACCAATAGGTTCTCATCTGAATTGTCAGAGAACACCTCTAAACAATTTTTTTAAAGTGAAATTGCTCCTCAGTCTTGACAGGATATAATACTGACCAAGTTCACTGCCAAATATATCAAAGCCTTATCATCTCAGTACTATTTTTCAATTTCTAAGTTATTAGGAGCATGATTTCAGAAGTCTAATCGGTTGGACTTCAAAACAGGCTATGCATAAGTTAACGAGATGGAAACCCAAAAAACAATCCAAAAGATCAATGAAACCAAGAGCTGGTTCTTCAAGAAAATAAACAAGATCAATAAGCCTCTTGCAAGACTCACAAAGAAAGGGAGAGAGAAAACCCTAATAAACTGAATCAGAAATGAAAAGGGGGACATTACAACATTAACTACAGAAATTCAAAGGATTCTCAGGGAGTACTTTAACCTGTCAACAGTAAGCATGACAGAGGAAACACAAAAACCTCGAAGAAATGGATAAATTCCTAGATTCCTATAGCCTCCCAAGGCTGAACCAAGAAGACCAGGAATACCTGAACAGACCTATCACCATCAAGGAAATTGAAACGGTAATAAAAAGTCTTTCCAGGCACAAAAATCCTGGCCCAGATGGATTCACTAGTGAATTTTTCCAAATATTTAAAGAGGACTTATTCCCAATCCTCTTTAAGCTTTTCCATGAAATTGAAATATCAAAAACAATTCCAAACAGTTTCTATGAAGCAAATATCACCCTGATACCAAAAGCAGAGATACCACAAAGAAAAAGAATTACAGGCTGATATCCCTCATGAACACAAACACAAAAATCCTCAACAAACTATTAGCAAATAGAATCTAACGACTCATCAAAAAGATCATACACCAAGTAGGATTCATCCTGGGGATGCAATGATGGTTTAACATTCAGAAATTGATCAACATAATCCATCACATCAACAAAAGAAAAGATAAAAACCATATGATCATATCAATAGACACAGAGAAAGCATTTGACAAGATCCAGCACCCGTTTATGATGAAAACTCTCCGCAAAATAGGTATCGAAGGAACTTTCCTCAATATAGTCAAAGCCATCTACCACAAACCCATGGCAAGTATCGTTCTCAATGGGGAAAAACTAAAAGCCTTCCCTCTAAGATCGGGCACAAGACAAGATTGCCCACTTTCACCACTCTTATTCAATTATAGTACTGGAAGTCCTGGCCATTGCAGTTAGGCAAGAGAAAGGTGTCAAGGGCATACAGATAGGAAAGGAAGGAGACAAGCTATCACTATTTGCAGATGTTATGTTACTATACTTAGAAAACCCTAAAGAGTCTACAGAAAAGCTCCTAGAAACAATAGGTTGGTTTAGTAATATGGCAGGCTACAAAATCAACACCCAAAAGTCCATGGCTTTCTTATATAAAAATAACGAAAGAGAAGAAAGAGACATTATAAAAACAATCCTGTTCACAATAGTACCTCAGAAAATCAAGTACCTTGGAATTATCTTAACCAAAGAGGCAAAGGACCTACACAAGGAAAATTACAAAACACTACTTCAAGAAATAAAAGAGGACATAGGAAATGGAGACACATTCCCTGCTCATGGATAGGCAGGATTAACATTATCAGAATAGTCACTGTCACTGTCACTGTCCTCCAGTTGTTCATTGATTTTGCTCGAGCGGGCACTAGTAGTGTCTCACAACAAATTGTGAGACTTGTTGTTACTGTTTTTGGCATATTGAATATGTCACGGGTAGCTTGCCAGGCTTTGCCGTGTGGGCGAGATACTCTCAGTAGCTTGCTGGGCTCTCCGAGAGGGGCTGAGGAATAGAACCGGGGTCGGCCCTGCTTGGCTGCATGCAAGGCAAGCACCCTACCCACTGTGCTATTGCTCCAGCCCATCAAAATGGTAATACTTCCCAAAGCACTATAAAAATTTAAAGCAGTTCCTATCAGGATACCCATGACATTTTTTCAAAGAAATAGACAAAACACTCCTGATATTTATATGGAACAATAAACCCCCACGAATAGCTAAAGCAATCCTTGGGAAAAAGAAGATGAGTGGCATCACACCCTCTCTCCCCCAACTTCAAACTGTACTACAAAACAGTAGTAATTAAGACAGCATGGTACCGGGCTAGAAACATACCTGCAGACCAATGGAACAGAGTTGAATATTCTGTCACAGACACCCAAATATATGACCACTTAATCTTTGACAAAGGAGCTAGAAATGTGAAGTGGAACAAGAAAAGCCTCTTCAACAAGTGGTTCTGGGAAAACTGGATAGCTACCTGCAAAAAAATGAACTCTGACCTCTGTCAAATGCTAGGCCTAAAAGTCAGATTAAAGGGGACTGATCACTTGACATCCTGTTACTCATCGATTTATTTGAGCAGGTGCCAGTAACGTCTCCGTTAGTCCCTGTAGCATGCTAGTGTAGCCCAACAGCATCTGCTCACTCCAGAAACACGAAGAGCCTCAAACCGATTGTTCAGGGTCTTGACAAAGAAGTCTGATCAAATCTTTGGTGGGCGGCCATGTGATCTTTTGACATCCCACGGAATCCAGTTGGTAACGGCTCTAGTCCAGTGGTCATCTCCAAATCACGTGTCCAGCCCATCTGATTTTTGATGCCTTGGTAAACAAGACAGTGTCCTTGATTCTAATCTTCGACAGAGGTTGGAACTCCGGATTCTTTCTCTCACTTGAGTGAAGCGCAATACTCCAAGTATAGCTCTTTCGATTCCTCTTTGGGAGACCCGAATAGTGTTCTCATCCTGTTTGCGTAGGGCCCAGGTCTCTGAGGCGTAGGTTAATGCAGGAAGAACAGTGAAATCAAAGAGATGTGCCTGGAGCCAGAGGCTCTTCATCCTCCTAGCTATTTCTTCGACGCTCTTGAAGGCATTTCAAGCTGCTCTCTTCCTCCTGTGCAACTCAGGTGCCAGGTCATTTGTCATGTTGACTTCTCGACCTAGGTACACATAGCTGTTGCATTCAGAGATGTTCATTCCATTGAGAGCGAATGGAACATCAGGAACAAGACCATTTCTCATAAACATTGTCTTCGTGAGATTCAGCTGTAGTCCAACATTTCCACACTCACAGTCGAAGTTGGCCAACATTTGTGCCGCTTGGCTAATGTTTGGTGTTATTAGAATTATGTCATCAGTGAAGCGGAGATGGTGTAGTTGCCGACCATCTATCTCCACTCCCATTCCTTCCCATTCCAGTCTTTGCGTGATGTTCTTGAGGGTGGCACTTAAGTGTTCTGGTGAAATAGTAGCACCCTGCCAAACCCTCTCTTGACATCAATGATCACTTCCCTGTAGAATGGTGAGATCCTGGTAGTGAATCTGTAATACAGCTTATGGAGTATCTTGATGTATTGAGTATGAATGCTGTTTCGCTAGGGATTCAATGATATCTTCAGTCTCAACAGAATCAAAGGCCTTCTTTAAATCAATGAACATTAGACAGAGCGGCATCTTGAACTCTCGAGAAACCTCAATGAGCTTGGTTATCATGTGGATATGGTGGATCGTGCTGAATCCTTTGCTGAACCTGGCTTGCTCGCATGGTTGTCCTTCATCTAGTATTTTGCCAATCCTATTCAGAATGACTAGAGTGAACAGCTTGTAGACGACAGACAACAGGCAGATTGGGCGAGAGCTGCCAATATCGTGGATGTCTCCCTTCTTGTACAGTAGTACAGTCCTGCTGGTTTTCCATTTGGATGGAACCTTGCATGCAGACAGGTAGCAGTGAAGAGCCAAGCCAGTGAGTACCGACGGCATGTTCTTCAGGTGTTTGGGTCTGACCTTGCCTGGGCCAGGTGCTGTTCACTTCTTTACCAATGAAATGGCATGTCAGATTTTGGAAGGGAGAACATTGGGAACGACATATCCATCCGCAAAATTTGTTATGTGGACAGGTGGACGTGGCTATTGAAGATATCTGAGTAGAAATCGTGGATAATATTCTCCATTGCCCTTCTAGAAGATGTGATAGATTCATCAGGACATCAGAAAGTGGTTATCTTGGTCTTGTAGTTGGTGAAGGACAGGCGGGCATTCCGAATGCTTTTTCTAGCTTCTGCTGCATCTACTAGCACTGCTGCTCTTCTCTCTATGAGGTCTTCCTTGATTGTTTCTCTGCACTGCTTTGCAAGCTCAGATGTATGCTTGCAGTTGCCTGAGTCTTGCGCCAAGCCACGTTGGCAAATGAGCTCAAGTGTTTTCGAAGACAGGCATCTTTTTGTGGCTATCTCTCTCGGTG